TTAAAGGTGGACGTCTGGTTCCTATCACCACCACTGTGAACAATTCTGACCCTGTAAGTTTCTCTACAACAGATAATTTCACACCAAACCACTCTGAATGACTTTATTTACATCTTTACCATTTCATTATGCAGAAATGTTGAAAGATCAGTGGTAGTTTAATGCAATAAGATTTTGGAGCATTTCTATTGGTCCATTCATCTTAAAATATTCACACAAGATTAACAGCAGCTGGTGTTTTCATATAGATTAAGACATTTTAATGAAAATGACTGAATGAAAGTGTTGAGAAGAGAGGAAGATTTTCAGCTTGACTTTATGAGACGAGACTGAGGAGGAATTTGTTTCCCTTCGATTACATTATTTATGCCACTTGAATGGAGGTCTTTTCTGCATTTTCGGGTCAGATCCCCTCCCAGTCTGGATGCTCGCCTTTGTTTTGTTGTTTATGAGTGCCAGAGCTGGGACAGGAGTGTGCAGGAACACTGACCGCAGGCTGCGCTGTCCTGTGCCCGCCGCTGCACCTGTTCTGCAGCCCCTCGCTGCTTTACTGGGCAGAGGACAGGCAGACGTCTTATAAATAAAACACTCACAGCCTGTCACATGCACCTGTGCCAAAGTGGCAGTCTGGCGGTCCGCAGCCTGCCCTCTTATCTTATCCGTTGCTGCTAGTGGCCTGTTTTATTGTCCACAGGCTCTAGCCAGCTGAACTGTTATCTGTAATAGATCACCCAAATGCTCCGCTGTTTGATCTTGATATTTATATACTTTTTATATACTTTTATAGTGTGCTTATACATCAAACAGTTCAGTAATAAAAATGAATCTCTTTTAATGAGTCATCTAACATTTCAAAAAGTATGAATTTCAAAGCGGAAACACCCCCCAGTCCATCTATGAAAACTAAGCTGCAAAACAGTTTGTTTTGAATCAAACTATTTTTGTGATGTCACAAAAACCAACACATTTATATATATCCACCTATTTAGCAGTTTAGCTCCGCCCATATAAGCTGAAGTTAAAAGGAGTGTTTCAGCCTGGACTGCTTCCTGAATGAGGCTCAATACAGGGCAGCCAATCAGAACAGACCTCGTTTATGTATTACACACCATTGACTATTTAGCTCAGTGGTCACCAACCCTCCTCCTGGAGATCTACTTTCCTGCAGAGTTTAGTTCCAACCTGCATCGAACATAACCTAATGCTGATGCATTTAATCCAGCCAATCAGAGACTTCCGACGAAGTTAATTAGCTGGAGCAGGTGTAGCAGACAGTGGTTGGAACTGGAAAGTGGATCCACAGGACCAGAGCTGGTGACCACTGATTTACACAGTACTACAAAATACAGTCAAAAACAGTACAGATAAAATACAGACTAGACAGAAAGACAAACAGACAGACAGAAAGACAAACAGACAGACAGACAGATAGATATACAGACAGACACACAGACAGACAGACAGAAAGATAGACAGACAGATTGATACATAGACAGGTAGATAAAAAGAAAGATATAAAGATAGACAGAGAGACAGACAGATAAACAGAGACAGGCAGACAGATAACAAAGCAGTACAGATAAAATACAGACTAGACAGACAAATAGACAGACAGACGGATAGATAGATAGATAGATAGATAGATAGATAGATAGATAGATGGATAGATAGATGGATAGATAGATGGATAGATAGATAGGTCGATAGAAAACACAGACAGACAGACAGACAGACAGATGGATATGTAAATAGTTGGACATATAGATAGACAGATAGACAGATAGGTGAACAGACATAGATAAATAAAGCCCCTTCAGTACACCAAGCTTTTTTGTGAATGTCTAAAACTGGCCTGAGAACTTCATTTTGGTGTAAACAGTGAGTGAATGAATATAACTGAACATCATTATAACGGACTGATGCAGCTTAATCTCCACCCTCTATTCACTCTTCATTCACTCTGCTGGTGAGACAGTAGGAGAGGCTGAGGTGGCAGAAAGCGGCGGAGGCCGTGTTGGAGAGGAGCCTGTGTGGAGAGTTTCTGGCAGAGTTTCTGGTTGTCGTTTCTGGGCGTGATCAGGACCATGCAGTGCAGACAGCTGCTCCAGCACCCCGCTCTCTCTGCTAATGAGGGCTTAATGCCTCAGCCATCACGTGTGTGTGTGGAGCCTCATCAGGAGCGTGTGTGTGTGTGTGTGTGTGTGTGTGTGCGTGGAGCAGCAGCAGTAGCAGATTTTGTGTCTGCTTTGCGTGGGTACCCTGTTGCTAGGCAAAGTTAAACCCCTGACCAATGAACCCTTCTCTCCAGACTCCTGCTGTTCAGCAGCTGTGGGGCCGGGTGTGTGTATGTCTGTGTGTGTGTGTGTGTGAGAGTCACTTATGCTCAGGTAATAAAAGGAAGCGGCTGCCTTTGAGGTTGCCAGGTGCTTCTTGTGCTAACATGAGCAACGCTCGTATTTCTGACTGCTGACTCTGGTAGCTATGGAAGCCCATTCCTGCCAGGTAGAGGACAAAAAAAGATATTTATCCTTCTGTTTTTTGGCAGCTATATATCAAAATATTGACTTGTTATGTTGGAATAATGACTATGTCAAAATAATGCTTAGTATCTCGTAATAATTACTTATTTTCTCAAAATTGTGACTTTCAGTGTCAGCATAATGACTTATTTTCCCAGAACAGTGACTTACTATGTCAAAATAATGACTTACTATACCCAAATATTGACTTATTTTCTCAAAATAATTACTAATTTTCTCAAAAGATCAACTGTCAAAAAAATGACATACCATATCAAAATGACTTACTATATCAAAATGACAAATTTCCTCAAAATATCAACTTACTATATCAAAATAATGACTTGCTATGTCAAAATAATGACTAATTTTCTCAAAATATCGTCTTACTATGTCAAAATATTGACTTAATATACCACAATAATGACTTACTACATGAAAATAATGACTTACTATATCGAAATAATGACGTATTCTCTCAAAATATCGACTATGCCAAAAAAATGAATTACTATATCACAATAATGACTTACTATATTAAATTCATGACTTACTATATTAAAATAAAGACTTAGTGTCTCGTAATGACATATATTGAATAATTATTGCAGAAAAATAACTTATATTTTGACATGGTGTCTCAAAATCTTGAGAAATAAGTTATTATTTTGAGATGCTCAGTTAACGTTTCTAGAAAATGAGTCATTATTATGAGATTTTAAGTCAATGTTTTGATACAGACTTTGTGCATCACCCGAAGTCCTGTATTTTACATCTGTGCAATAGTGCATTCATGTGTGGTTTAAGAAACTGCATGCAAGCATCTCTTTGTTTATGTGTGCGCACCTGTATGTGCATGTTTGTTTATCATCATGAGCTCATTGCTAATGAAGTGCATGCTGGAATTACTCATCTGGGAGAATGGCCTGGTCAGAGGCATTGATTTGTGTTTAACCCCAGCTGTGGGCCGCACTCACAGAGACAAAAGCGGAGTGAAAGGCCCCGGCACAGCGTGAATCGATTGCTTTAAGCGGATGACCGGGCTGAGTTTAGAGCTGTAGACTGGGGGGGCAGTGTGTGGCCTTGACAGTGCGCCTGGCCTGCAGGACAGCAGAGTTGTTCTCTCAGTGATGGCAAGGACATCGACTCATAAAAGCATTAAGGAATGTAATTCTATAAAGAATAACTGGGCTGTAAAGAACAATGTGTGTTCAGGGTGTTAAAGAAACGTGTATATCAGGCGTGTATATCATATTTACGTTAACTGGTAAAATCCCTACAACACTGTACAGTGCATGTATTGCAAGTGCCAGCCTACCAGCACCTCATACACCATTTACATAAAGCACGTCCTAATTCGTGCAGTAGTTTCAGTAGGGAGCAAATAAAGCGACAGCATTCAGCATCTTATGAGCCAAAGGTTGTGCTAGTAGGCGGGGTGTGAGGTCGCACCGTTCCCCCTAATGACCAAACTTCATAGGGTTAAAATTGCAACAACTAGAAAGAATAAAATGTGAAATAAACATAATGTCTTGCCGCTTTTGAGACAGTAGAATGAAGTGATTATGATTATTTTCCTAATATAGCATATTTAAACACACTGCAGTATGTGAGACTGTGCTTCTGCACTGTTTTATACTGTCTGTTTTTAGCTGGTGTCAGAAGTATAAAATAAAAGTACAGTGCAATATTGGTGAAATTTGCATGTGCTCATTTTACGATACGCAACTTTAATGAATAAGGGCCACAGTCCAGTTCATTTACAGCCACTGCTACAAAGCAGTTCCTTGACTACTATAAAAAAGCATGTCTTTTGTAATCAATGCAAGGATGCAAGAAGGGTTTCATTCCAAGATGCCTTTTTTTATGATATATGTTGTCTGGAGTGGGCTTCACACATACAAGAAATTAGTGCAGTATTATTCTAATACCACCTTTATTAGGGGCTTCTGAAGCCTATCGGGAGATCGCAAGTTGGATACCCAATGATGCCACAGCCAATCTGTAAGTGGCAGTCCAAGACTAACTGTCGTCTCTTTCTCTCTCTGGGTGGGTGGGATGGTCCTCCCTCTCCCCCATCACTCTCGTGATGCTAGCCAACATGGACGTGTTTTAGCTGATGCAAACAGAACTGGTGGTTAGTGTTCTCCTCCAAGCGTGCTAAACTCCAGTGAAGCTGCAGTAGCGGCAGTTTGAAAAGATGTGGTGCCACTTCACAAAAATGAGCTAGCCGACTTTATCCTGTTTGTTTAATGCCAAAAAATAAATGAAAACCCTGACTAAGCACAACAATCAGTTATTATAATCACAATAAAATATCTCCTCTTTCACTTGTAAACACAAACGTGGTATGGATTGAAAGATTCTACCTATTGTTTCAAATAGACACGAGTGTGTAATGTAAGAAGAGGCCTTTCGAGGGCTGACAAAACCTGACAATAACATCATATTGTCTTATTCTCTGTCTCTGTCTCTCTCTAGGACAGGCGAGGAGGTTCCAGCGGAGGTTAAGCACCTGCGTATGGCCTCCGTGAGCATGCCAGCTCCAGCCGAACGCGTGTCCCCCCAGCAACCCCAGCTGTGCAGTGCGGGCTTCGCCGTCCGCTCCCAGTCCCTGCACTCTGTAGGGGGCGGGGAAGAGGAGGGAAGCCCCACATCCCGCAAGCAACCCCCTCCCAAACCCCGCCGCGACCCCAACACCAAGCTCAGCATCTCCTCTGAGGCTGTAGACCTCAGCACCTCCACCTGCAGGGGCGGAGACTCTGACAAGTGTGACGGTGAGTTAAACCCCTTAAACAGAGAATTAGAAGCCGCACTTTGTAAGATATTTTTGTAAAAACTAAAAGATGTAGCATTACTGAGTCAGGCTAAAATATGGTGAGCTAGACAAGAGCTGCGTTCCAAAGCCCAGGCTGCAGCCGAGGTAGGCTGCATTTCTACGCTTCTAGGCTATGTTATAGAAGGCCATTCCAAAGTGAAGGATCCTTAGTACACAGCCTATGTTCTGAGTGATTTCGAGGATGCAACAGATGTATCCTTCTATGCCTTCAGTTACCCACAGTTCTCTGTGCATGAACGACGTGAAGGAAAAAAAAACAGCACCACGAAAACAACAAAAAACGAAGCCGTTCGAGCAGAGCTTGTTTTAAAATTGAAGTTGTTCACGTCCTCGATATCATTTTCATTACCTTATAAAGTGTAAAATGACTGATTAATTAAAACATTCGCCCATATATCATATATCGTCCATATATTGTATTTTATTTAGAAGTATTTGTATATTATGTAGTTTATCGTTCCGCATTAGAACATCTCCTCCATTTCCGTAAAGAAATGAAAAAGCAACAAACACAATGCAACGGGCTCAGTTTTCTCTCACCAGTTACATTTGCAAGTTTTGCGCTGCAATTGCAAGAGGCGGGACCTTTCTGATGACGTCACCAGGCAGCCTCGTTAGGACTGATCCATTTGTGTGACCAATAGGCTACTAAGGAGAAGCCTTCAGAGGACAGTCCTACCTCAGATCCGCCCTACCTCGGCTGCAGGAATGCAGCTATTGTTTCATAAAGTCCTTGTAGAAAATCCAGTAACTTCAGAAATGCAGAACAAATATAACTATGATAGTAGGTTTGCATGCACCTACTTAACCTACTATCTATGCTAATGTGCAGGCGCATGTTAACGTGCAACGTCGCCTGCTGGATCTTTTAAAGGATCTACACTGGTCCCTGTGCCAAGCTATGAATGAGGCAAGTTGTTAAGTTATTAAGTGGCGAGTTATGAATGAGGGCATCGCTTGCCGCTGGCGCAAATCGAGTTCGCTCGCATTTTCTCATGTCAAATAGGAGTAGTAGGCGGTGGGGTTGTTGTGAACGTCGCTGCATCTATGAATTGAGGGTGAAGGTCACAGAGTTTGTTCGCATATCTTCTGCAGGACTATATTCTCATTGTTCTGCCCTGCATTCTCATGCAGATTATAAACAAGAGCACCACATTCTGTCTTTAATACAGCCTCACACTGCTCTGCTCTACTTTTTAAAATGTTATTTTCACAGCAGGGATGCCTGGGACTCGCACTAATCAAGTTACTGGAGCGAGTTATTTGATTTCAGAGCAAGTTATTGGATTCTAGATATTGTCTGTATGACAAAAAGGACTAGAAAAACAAACAACAACAACAAAAAAAATGTGAAAACGATTAGTAATAATCTGTCATATCTAAAGTCTGTGGTGTTTAAATGCAATAAAAATATCATAGCAGTGCTCATCTGCATAAAAAGATTAACATGGCTTGTACATGATGAAAAGGTTCTGTAGAGTTCGAATTAGAGCATGTTATATGGACAAAATGGTAGTACTGAAATTGCTAAATATAGCTTTATGTCTTGCAATACTTTAGAAATACACTAGAGACTCAACAATGTGGCATGGCCTGCAAAAATAATTATCTTTTGAGAGATTACAAGAGTAATTTATCAAAAATGCTCATAGAAACACTCCTTTAGAACTTGGTCAAGATGCATTAGATGCATCATTTGTCCATAACGACCTTATTGCAAGGGCCAATATCGCAACATCGATTAATAAACAATATATTGTGCAGCTCAGAGCATTCCAAGAAGATTCAGAGCTTTTGGAAAGTCAGAGCTTTCGAGTGCAGGCTGTGAAAGCATTAAGTCAGTGGATATGCTAATATGTTGCTGTAGTTGCTGAGGTTCAGATTGGATGGGGATAGCAGTGGGCACGCTGATCTTCCTCAATGCCACGGCAACCAAGCCCACGGAAACAGAGACCCCCTGCTGCTCCTCCAATCCCAGCATCAGCCGTCAGCCTCGACCAATTGTCAGCGAGCTGACGGGAAGTCAGAATGCCGTGGCAACCAATGGGGAACGGATTAGCGGGCCAGCTCTGCAGACTCTCGTCCAATGGGAAGTGGAGAGTGGGGGATGTTCCTCATTGAGAGGAGAGTTGCGTTGCGTGTTGCGAAGGTTGGGGGGGTGTGGATGACGAGGGTAAGAGGAGGGAGGAGGAGGGGCCAGGCCGCACAGGATTCATTCAGGAGGAGCGATTGACCTAGATTTAGTTCCCCTGGAGGAGAGGGCGAGGGTAAACACATCCGCTAGTGGAGAGAGGGAGAGGGGGAGGGACCGAGAGAGAGAGAGGGAGAGAGAGAGAGGGAGAATGGGTGCTTGCAGAAATGATCTCAAGATCCACCATCCCCTTTCACATAATTAACACATCTATACCGTCTAAAGCCCAGGCATGCGCAGGGGCACATTCTGACTCACATGCGGCGCATGAAAAATGTCTTTAATCTGGGTGCAATGCAGTTTCACACCTCTCTCTGTCTTTATCTGCACCCACCATGTCTTCATTTTCTTCTGGACGAGGAAGAGATTCTATTTGATCAACTTGGTCATTGATGCAGTAAATCAAAGATATCAAATTCCGAACGAATGGGTCACCCTACTTAGCACAGTGAAGTGTTTTTCTTCCTCTAGCACTTGAGCTGACTTATGCTAGAGGATGAGCTGATGAGCTAAGAGAAAAAACATCAGAAAACTGTTCATATCTCTGAAAAGAGGGGGTGCAGAATCTCACCATGTATGTGAGTTACGCATAGCAATACCTGTGGGTCCAGTTAGGCAAGGTTCTATGTGTAGGCTATACATGCCAACACACAAGCATAACATTATTATGCATGTAATACCCAAGTCATTAAGTGTGCATGTGTTTTTGATGATGGTGTTGGAATAAAGGATGTGCTTAGACCATCTGGTACCTAAATAATTTAAAATGAACAGAATCTCCAGTGGACTGCAGATATGGTCAGATTTTCTTCTGAAATCAAAAAGAAACTAAGCATTGGTCATATGCCAGTATCAGTCATATAATTTTCAGGCTCTTAAAAGAAGTGTAGAAGATGATTTCAATGCCAATGTTACAGTGCTGATGCTAGCAAAATTAACCTGGGCTAATGGGCAAAAATGCCCTGAAAGTTTAAAAAAGCCTCTCAAATGTGCAGCAAATAAAAGCCTTTATATGGTTTCTGATTGTTTAAAAATATTGGGCAAGGTCTGTTTTAGACTATACATATAATGGGGCATCCAATACAGTTTAGTGCCTCTGTGGACACTAAACATAGCACACACATTGCTGCCTTTGACACTAAAGCGAATGATGTGAGTGCTTTGACTGAAAGAACCAGACTTATTCCCAAATCTGTTGCACAATCAGTGAAGAACAAGCCTAATAAACGCTTAATAAGGTTAGAAAAAATGCCCTAATAAGGTTCAAACCTTGCCCAGAAATCTGGCTCGATAAAAACTTTCATCTCTGGCTGATCCTAATATCTGCTCTTTTTCTTCCTTGTTTCCTTCTCACTCAGCAATGCAAGGCTGTGGTGAGGACTGCAGGAGGGTCCCACCTCCAAAGCCCAAGAGGAATCCTAACACTCAGCTGAGCACCTCGTTCGACGAGTCCTACGTCCGTAATGCTGCCTCAAGAGGTTCGCCCCCAATGTCCCACTCAAGGGAGGTCAAGGCTTCCTCTCCTTCTCCTCCTCATCCACAGCCCCAGAGCCCACAGCAGGACTCGGACTCTGAAGAGCCTGTTTATATTGAGATGTCTGGCACTGTAGGCCGAGATCCGCCCAATCGCAATGAAGATGAGGAACCGGGTGAGGCCGTCTATGAGGAAATGAAGTACCCAGTCTTGGATGAGTTTGATTCGCGTTGGGATCTTTCCAGTTGCCGGTCACAATGTGCCACACCTTGTCCGTCTGATATAGACACCCATAACCCCCTGAGCCGATGTTCTACACCTCGGGGGACACCCCTTTGCGACATTCCTGCACCTTTCCCCAACTTGCTGACCCACCGGCCTCCTTTACTTGTCTTCCCCCCAGCCCCAGCACAGTGTTCACCCAATTCAGACGAATCCCCACTTACTCCTCTGGACATGGCCAAGTTGCCGATGTTGGAGAATGCTTCCTCCTATGGCAAGTCGCCTACTTCCTCCTCCTCACTGGAACCACTCAGCTCTGCCTCCACCTCGCACATAAGGCGTGCAGAAAGGGAACTAACCGCAACTCCAACCATCACGGTCTCAGGACGTTCCTCGGCACCTCCTTTGCCATGTACGCTCTACAGGAGTTCGGGCAGTTCCCAGAACTACCAGCGGAGCCACTCAGCCTGCCCTTCTCCAGTCAGCATGGGCCGCTGCCTCACTCCGCTTAGCCTCATGAGGGCCCCAGCCTTCGACGGGCCTTTCTCAGGACCTGCCCTGCCACGAAGCGCCTCAGCAACACCCCACGGCAAGGGCTCTCCGCCCCAGGACCAATCGGGACGCCTTCATGGCTCCATGCAGAATGTCTCCTCAGGACGCTCGCGGACGCCCACCAGCCCGCTGGATGAACTCACCAACCTCTTCACCACCGGCAGGAACATGCTGAAGAAAAACTCCAGCGGCAGGAAGAGCAAGGAGCCGGGCGAGAGTGAGTTTCTCTCTTTCTGTCAATAAAGTCCGAAATGAGAAACGTGCCTCGCAATCGATGAGTCAATCAATAGGAGGCTAAACACGCTGTTAATGTGATAAACAGCTGAGTCGCGAAGTGCTGTGTACACTTAGAGTGAAAATCATTGCAACTGATGGTCAAATTAATCTAAGAGTGCTTACATACTAACTAATTAGGGTAGTTAAAACCTAAGCAAGATATAACAATGTTCTTCAGTGGGCATAAATCCATATATGGTACAGGTTCTAGTAAGTGGAAATCCAACAAATCTCAACTTCTAATGGAGGTCAAAGGGTCCAAGGCAGGTACTGTGACTTCCATCATTACTTGCTGTGGGACTTTTGACCTGCTTCCTCTGCAAGCTGGCTTAATCTGAGTGCTGCAAACAGGCTAGTACAGATCATATGATTTAATCCGTGGAGATTAGGGGCTACAGCAGCCTGTATAACTCCATGGCTGTGCTACAGAAGTATTAAGCCACAGCAGTGTATAACTTTTAAATATGTAAACAGTGTTTAAACACCGGCTACTACACTCCTACAAAGGCTCCCTGCCAAAAGCAATGTTTACGATGTTGGTGGAGATATAATGAAAGGTTTAATTATGGAGACAAATTCCTAAAATCACGTGGTGGTACTTGATTTGTATATGGCTTGATAGAAAGTTTGTCGTAGTTATTGCACTGTTTGTATGTAGATGCAGTGAAATATGGAATACAGAAGTTATTTTTGAAGGGAATCGTTTGTTCTATTTTTATAGAAAATTTTAAAAGTTGACTATATGTTACCAATGAAAAAGGAGTTAGATGTTCTTGCAATAAGGGTATCTATACAAAGGTATTTTATCTCTAGGGTAAGACTAGACTAATTAAACTTGATTGTCATTAATGTTATTTATATAAGACCGAAAGCAGTATTAAAAAGGTACATTGCCTTCTCCCTGCATTATAGCTTTCGTGACTGTGCGCTTGTGTGAGAGTGATGAGATGTGAACTGTCAGTTGTTATTGACTGCATCTCTTGAGCAATGACCCCCACGGATGCTTCTCTACAAAAAAGGTCAACTCAACAAAACCGCTTTTAAAACGGCTTATTCGCTCTCCTTGAGCTATGAGTAGATGAAGCGCTCATCAATGAAACTGCCCGGGTTAGATGCAGTGTTGTAGCACATGAAGTGATGCACACGCTCTTGCTGGCAAGCTGAGTGCTCATCCTGGTAACAGAGGAAGGGAACTCCCTGCAGATTCTCCCTCTGAGGAGCGGCAGACCAATCAGGATGCAGGTCACGGCCGCCCTGTTGCAGCGAATGTGTGAAGCTGGAAGCTCTCGGTGGAAAAAACAGGCAGCAACAGAGAGCACTGCACTACCTGTACAGACATGTGCTCTGCTCCAGAAAAACAACAGTGCTTTTTTCACTACAAGCGCTTTCAGCCCATGCAATTAGAGCGGTGTTAATTAGTAGTTTTGCGGCTGCTCAGAATTGTCTGGTTTGACTTTCACACGTTGCTGTGAAGCATCTAGGCCACACAACATTGTTTCAGTGGTTTTGTTGGTGCTGCCTAGTAGCCATGTGGCATGTAGGTCTTATCTTGTAGTCATGTGATTTACCTCTGTTGCCATGGGCATTGTTTACTGATCACATTTTTATATGGTAGTTTGCACATGTGTTGCACCTTTATTCAATCTCATGGAGTGACGCATTTGGCTCAGAATGCTCACAAACATCATCTGTCCTGGTTGTGGGTGGAAAACACATTGTCTTTGACCTATTTATCCACCCACCAATCAATGCTGCCTAGCAAGGATAGGACCGTAAATTAAACTGTAATGGCAAGTGCGAATGATGTGAAGTTTCCCAGTGAAACCCTCAGACAGTGGAGAGAAGAAGTAACAAGTAACGTACATTCATCAACAGAAATCTATCACGAGAGCCTTGATATTATAAGAGGAATGTGCTATTTTGAGGCAGTGTAAGGATTTAGCGGTAAAGAAATCTTGGAAAAATTCTTTACATGCCACCACCGTGCCATCAGCAGCTGCAGAACCAAATACAGAGACAATGAATTCACAGAGACAATTGCAAAATAAAGTTGCGCAGAAAAACAAGCTCTGATCATCTGCAGTAGCATAGTGACACCAAGTGGCCAACTGCCGTTAATACAACAATGGCTGAAACATTCCTCTTAAATTTTGTTTTGAATGAGCCAGTGGTTCAAAATCCTAGTTCTGGAGTACCCCAATCTTGTTTTCCCTGCTGTCATGCACCCACTTCAACTCAGGAAGGCCTTGTTATTAGCCAGTTAGTTGGATCAGGTGTGTTACAGCATGAAAAACAGAAAGGGTACTAAAGGAACAGGACTGGGAACCACTGGAGTAAGGGAATAATTTGTTAAGCATTTGTGGAACTACAGAAATGTAACATGAATGTATGTAAGCTGACTTGCTACTGTTCTCCTAAAGGTGAAGCCAAAGGGAGGTGCCACAGCTCAGAGTCCAAACGGGAGCACAAGGAGAGGAGCCATCACAGCAAGGAGTCTAAAAGGGACAAGGAGCGCAGCAGCAAATCCTCGCATCGGCGTGAGAGCAAAGACCGAGAGGCTAACGGCACTGAGGCCCTCCTGAGACGAGACAGCAAGGACAGAGGCTGCAGCAATGCAGAGCCATTACCGAGACATGACAGCAAGGACAGGGGATGCAGTAATGGAGAGCCACTACTGAGACGTGATAGCAAGGACAGAGGCTGTAATAATGCAGAACCATTACCAAGACGCGACAGCAAGGACAGGAGCTGCAGTGGTCCAGAGCTGCTTCCTAGACAGGACAGCAAAGACAGGGGATGCAGCACCACTGAGACTGTATCACGACATGACAGCAAAGACAGGGGCTGCAGTAGCATGGAACCTTTACCCAGACGAAATAGTAAGGACAGAAGCTGTAATGGTCCAGATCTCCTACCCAGGCAAGACAGCAAAGATCTTTCTAGGAATGGTCTGGAACGATGTGACAGCAGAGACCGAAGTTACGAACTGTTACCCAGGCATGACAGTAAGGATTTGAGCAGGAATGGCCTGGAGTGCCGACGCAACAGCAAAGAAGGTGGAAAGAATGGTTTAGACTCTCGTCAAGGTAGCAACTATGCTGCAGACTGCGGACGAGATAGCAAGGAATGGAACGGTAATGGGACAGACTTGATACACAAAAGAGACTGTAAAGATAGGGGGATGCACACGACAGATGCCTTGACCCGACATGACAGTAAAGACAAAAGCAGCTTCAGCACAGAGTCACCCAAAGCACACGATAGGGATGCAAGGTCTGGACTTCCGTCTAATTTGTCCAACCGGTCTGGACGCTCCCCTGTGAGTCCCACGACGACTTTGGGTAACTCTGGTAAGTCCTGTATTTGGTGTCCTTTGCTCATGATAGCCACCGTAGATTATTCCACTTGATGTACCTCAACACAAATAAATCTTAACAATGGTTGGGCTGCTTTTTCAACTTGTGCACAAGCAACTCGATCTTGTTGCTTGTGGTGAAAGATTTCAATCTCTACTTACAGAACTGAGGACAGTTCCAAAGGTGGGCCGCTCCCCGTCCACACCAACTGCACCATCACCACTGGGGACACCTCAGAGACAACCCCCAGAAGCCCAAGAGGTACCATTAAACTTTACATCTTTGCAGGGTTAGATTTGGAATTTGCTGCCAAAAGTTCATGTTGCGAATGACCCTGTTATCCCTGTTTCTCCTCTTCTGCAGATGCCACCCATGCCATGGGTATATGGTGACAGCACCATGCTGGAAATGATTGAAAGAAAACAGCGTCTGTGCCGTGAGATCAGGTCCCGTCAGCGGCTCCCTGAACGGAGCCCCTGCAAGAAGGAGACCCTGCCGGCTGTGACCAATTGGAAGAAGGCCAACGGGGCGAAGAAGTATGGGCCACCACCATACCCGAACCAGACCACTGTCTTTTGGGACACAGCAATCTGAATGGTTGCTGAGCACTTCAGGACTTAGCCTCGCTCCGCCTAATGCAGAGCGGCCGATTATAGTGCTCCTGGCAGTGGGATTAACATAGCAATACTTCTGAGTGTGCAGATCGTCAGGTTTTCGAATCAATGTTTATATCTGATATTTTTGTATTGTGATTCCTTGTAAATGACCTAGCATTAACAGATATTTTCTAAACAATATGGAATATCTTTGCAAAGAGTACGTAGAGTTAGCACAATACAAAGTTTGTTCTTTTCTATTTTTTTTTTTTACATTGCAATACAAAAACGAATCTCATTGTATCATCAACGTTCACAGGCCTTTATCTTTCAGACCTCTCAAAATTAAGGTTCCATGGTAAGTTGCCATGAATGAAGTGTATTTTAACATTGGATGTGAAATTGGACTAGGGCTAGCTTTTACTGCTGCCTTGCCACACTTTTAATTTCATAGAATGTGCAATTATTCAAGAACTCAAATAGATGGATTACTCTCAACAATCAGAATTCTTTTTCATTAACATTTTATTGCTTGAGCTTTGGTTAGTACATAATTAAAAATGGAGGGTTTCAGTATGTAAGTGGGAAAAACAGCACAACCTGAGAGAAGCAGAAAGGAAGTTTATGAAAGGGTAATGGAAGGTAAGAGAGACAGAGTGATGAAGAAAAAGAGCTCTTTTATAAAGGACATATTTTTGTTCTGTAGTGTTGTAATCTTGAGGGTGTTCCCTCTTTCTTGGGTCTGTGGCAATAGCTGGCAAGAGCTGGTGAGAATCCTCTACCATGCACTATGAGGATAGTTGCCCAGAGATTAATGACAATCTGGAATATTAAAGTATTTTTAACATAATTTAAAAGTTGTGTACATGCTTGTTAAATGGAAGGGTTTTTGGAGGAGTCATTTTTGCTGTGGTCCTGCACTGGATGACTGTGTCATTATTTGTCGGTAAGTTGCTAAAACTGTCATTTGATTGATTTGTGATGGACACAATCAGCCCTGTTTGGGTATTTGAAACCAATGACCAATGGCCCTCAGCGGGAGCACTAAGGACTTAGCAACCATGGCTACATGACCCAGTAATAGGGGCTGTGGTTGCATTAAAAAAGGGGCAGTAAAGAAAAAGAAATGCACTCCCATAATCTTCTACATTATTTGGCTGGATATCTGCCACCCTCCCTCTACCTCAACCGTTCAGATTAGTTCAAGTGGGTCATTCATTTGCACGATGAATGCAACACCTGCATTGCCAAAGTATTTTGGATCCTGGAGCGAAGTCCATGTCCCTCCCCCCGCTTTATTCTCGCTATGAACTCCACGTAGGGAAAAAGTAACGCCTGTGCAAATGTGTTGCCTTGGAGATCGGCGCTCACTGTGACTGGGTCACACTGGGGTGAAAGGTAACAAATACTGTAGCCTAGCAGGCCTAACGCAAGCAACCAGTGCACCGGTCACTAGTTTGCAGGTATTCTGGCATTTGGAAATGGTGTTTATGCTTATGGTCAGTTTTTGGTGCTTTCCTTAAGAGCTGATTCAAAAAACAGACCAAATAGAGTAAAAACACAGTAGCTGGTGTAGCATTGAGTATACAGTAGAAAAAGACATGGAAATTCTGAGTATGTTTTCATACTTGTGTGTGTCTGTATGTGTGCCAAGCTACATTGTACGCAGGTCACCTATTAAATGATTGTTTGACATTCACTCTCTTGTGCCCAGGAGGTGCAGGTTAATGAAATGTAATGATGTACAATCTCTCTGTATGTAAAATGTGCACTGTGACAGGTAGAAAGACTACGTCCTTTGTCTTATTGCACTGAGTGTTCTCTTATCTGTATAGTAATGTTTGAGATAAAAAGAAGTATGCTGATTGTCACAAGGGTCTTTTTGAGAGAAATAAATATGAATTTCAAACTGCTATGGAGATATGAGTCTTTCTACTCTAAAAATAAAAAGTCTCTCTGCAGGTTTACAACAGGCTAACATCCTTTGGATTGTCCAGTCTTTGTCCTGCAGGCCTGGACAAGGGCTTCATATACAATAGCATTCAAAAGTCACTTACCATATTAATAATTGCTGTTATATCATCCAACAATAACTTACCCAGTGTCTTAAAATACTATAAGCTAGACTTCAGAAGACAATTTTACTCAATGCTTCAAGTTTTTGGTAGCACATTTAATAAATAAGCTATTAAATGATGAATTAAATTAAATGCTTCATATGTTTTGTGACTTTTTCAGTCATTTCAGAATCTTCTACAGTTCTGTTTGTCATTTCGACATGTCTAAGACGTCAATTATTCATAGCTTCCTAATTATTACTTAAAATCTGTGAGGTTGTAGAGTAAGAGCATCATAATAGAATGATTTCATACATTTATCTGCATCATTTTTTAAAAATGCTATTAAAAACATTGATCCCAAACTTTTGAATGCCTATGTACTTCTTCATAAATTGTGTAAATATTGAGTTCAGGACAAGAGCTACTATTAGAGATAAAAATGTGAAAATACTTTACTTTTTTGGAGTATAAAAATGTCTGATATTCATCAATTCAGAAGATTTAAATTCACAGCAATTATAAGCAGTAAGCCTCGGCTATCTTAGGGATCACATGTAGATATTTAAGGGAAACCCACAACCTGTAGAAGTTCCAGTATGAACTGTCCCATCATGGCGACCTCAGCTGTATGATTTGTCGCTGCCTCATGCAGACGTGACATCGGCTGATGCGGTTCCGCTGCTGGTCTGCAGCCTTCAGCGTTGCCCCCTGCAGGGCCGTACCAAATTCCTCCTCGTAGCTCACGCGAGTCAGCCAAAAGCTGTAGATGTTGGCAAAGTAATGGCACGTGCCACGCAGGCCTTGGCATTCCACAAAGGGCTGCGTCCTGAAGTCCTTCAGACAGCTTCCAGGAGAGGTCAGAGACTGACCGCCACCTTCATCGCCAGATCCAGTGTGCTGGGAGAACAGTCATAAATATATATATATATATATATATCTACACACACACACATATATACATATATATACACATATATATATATATATATATATATATATATACACACACGCATACTTACATTTTCATATAAATTATACATATTTAAGAAGTTACATGTCATAAAATATGCCCCATATGTATCATATAAGTACATATCTGTAGACAATAAAAATTTTCTAAACCTAACTTTAATCTTAACCTCAGGAAACAAAAATAAAGTTTTCCTTTTGTGCCAGTTTTCAAAATTTCAAATTTTTTTGTAAAAAAAAGTACTTTATCATTTTAGCACCATTTTACTGATTCTAAAAAGGTAGGTGTTTTTATATACAGACAGGACACGTTTCTTTTAAAAATATATGAGAGCAGTTATACTGTAACAAATTAACCCTAGAAATGTCCCTGAATTTAATCCTAGCCCTAAGCACTTGAACTATTATATATATAATATTATATTACTATAATATATGCCTTTAAAATGATTAGGCCCAGACATTTGGGCCTCACAATTACACCAATACAAGTACACACCTGCACATGACAGCAAGGACATGCTCACCATGAGGAAAGAGTAACCTATCCATAAACTGCTCCAGCCAGGCGGGCAGCTGGGCACGTTGGAGTCTTGGTTATGGACTGCCACTGCAGGAGCGGGCGCCTCACACACAACACAGCGGCTGATGTACTGGCGGATCTCTTCGTCTAACACGGGCATCATGGGCACAGGTTTGTTGGTGGTCAGCCAGTAGGACTTGTCATTGCGACTGGCGTAGCGACAGGCAGCAGAGTTACAGTAGGAGAAGGGCATGGTGCTGAAGATATGCAGGCATGAGCCTGCTTGGCCTGAACAAAAAGAGCGGGAAAAGAGTCATTATGTCCATATAGACAATATGCAAGATGGGGCCTATACAAGTGACCAAAACTACATTTAGGTATGAGTAAGTATATGCATTATGTACACTTAAGTGCACATATGTATACTGCTGATTTCCAAAATGGTAACTTTACAGAAGAAGGAAAAAAACATTCTTAAGTTAATGGAACTAGATTTTTTCCCCAAGCACTTTTGGAGCTCTCGTATCTCCATTTTTGTTTTTTTCTCGTATCTCGTTTTTATGGGTTTTTGACATAATTTGAAAATGACTGTTGTCCTTTACATTATGGGCGAAGTTAAATGATGACTGGACCAAAAGAAATGGCCCAAAATTACTTGGAATTCAGAGATATAACTATAAAGAGCTGTAAGATATTAATTATTATAGAGCTGTCAAGTTCTGAAAACAATTCCAGGGACAGTTGGTGCTCCTTTACTGTGCTATGATGACATAACATTCATTAATAGTCATTTTTCTTCTAAATTATTGTTATAATTACAATGATTGGAGCATTTTGCTAATATATTTGTAATGCTATATGAATTTGTATGATATTCCTATTATTATTCCTATCCTATACCACCAAATGTGCATCCCTGATGAAAAGTATTTTGTTAGCAGCTCTCTCCTAGGGTGAGTGGCAGATGCTGCATTTTAAGGTTGATATTCCTTGAATGAATATGAGGCAGAATGGGAAATGGAGTGGTGAAAGGATCGGACTGATGTAATCTCTACGTATTTCAGTTTGTTTCAGCCTTAGACTCTCTGCACTCAGAGGTACCTTAACAACAATGAGTCTTTCAGAGTGAGATCAAGACACTGGATTCCAAAAGGTTGCAAAGTTCACGGCATCCTGTCTTAACACGTTATCGTTCATTCATCGAAAAAGGTTCATTTGAAGCATTAGTACCGAACAAAGAAGATATACTCATTTGTTTCATGCGGGTCTGTTTGCGTTGCACTTCACGTAAAAACAGCTGTCTGTGATTAGATGGTTTTCATGTCACTCAAATGGCCCTTTCTTGTCAAAGTGTTGCTTCTTTGTGATGTTAAGTGTTAAAATCTGCCTCTCTAACAATTGAATTTCAACACAAATTAAGTGCTTTTGGTTTTGTGGGCTTTGTGTACTTCTCAACGCTCATCTTGCACGTTAATTATTTTTTTCTGCTGACATATTTCACTACAAATTTAGGAAATGTCCTCGACAGCTGCCCAGCACCCACTAGTGAATATATTAGTTAACTTATTGATTCAATTCCTTGTGTACACACCACAAATAGCTATACTCTAGTGTGAAATATTACCCAGGTCTTGCGTGTAGGCTCTCTCCTGACCCTCCAGATAAAGAAGGCTGTAACCAATCCAAAGGAGGGGCATGCCTGCTGGACACTCAGGTATTGCCTCAGACTGACTGTGGATCACTAGGAGAAACCCAGACATTGCTGATGGTCCCATTGCCTGGGAATCCAGGATCTCCCTTAGGGCCTGGAGGGCCTGGAAAAGAGGTGATAAAGAGAAAAGGATGCTGCTAATTACTTCTCAGATGTTATAAATCTTAAAGGGTTAATTTTTCATACAGTTGTGCATTTAGCTTATACCTTGTGGTCCAACAAGTCCTTGATGTCCAGGCTCACCAGCATCCCCAGGAGGACCTGGAATTCCTGCAGCTCCTAACTGCCCAGGTGGACCAGGACTGCCCATCAGACCTTTAGGTCCTAAAGAGACCACAACATCATGCAGATTCAGCCACACACACCCACTGAAAGATGGATAGCTGAGTTGGAGGGAGTGAAGACAAATGACCTTACCTATGGGTCCTGGATTTCCTGGGAGGCCAGATGTTCCTTTGAATCCAGATGGCCCAGGTGATCCTGGCTTTCCTTGTGGTCCCTTATTGGTTGGTTTGGGAGGGCCAATGATAACTCTTCCAGGTGTACCTTGGGCCCCTAGAAGGCCATAGAGGAAATGACATATACTTGGAATGACTCATACAATAAGGCACACAGGAGTCCACTCAGCGTGAGCGAAACAGTGCTATATAAAGTGTAATGGTGGAAAATGTACTCGTCCTTTCTGTCCTATACATGAACTTGCTAATATATGGTATTACAAAAACACTTCAATGCAGATGCCAGAATTCACGCATAAGGGCTCCTGAGTGGCGCAACTGTCTAAGCGTTGATCCTATCATCAGGAGATCGCAAGTTCGATCCCTGGTGATGCTACAGCCATCTGTAGCCAGGAGTCCAAGAGAGCACAATTGGCCTCGCTCTCTGGGTGGGTAGGATGGCCCCTCCTTCTCCCCCCATCACTTAACGCGAAGCTAGTCAGCGCAGGTGTCTGTTTGCTGACGTAGCAGATCTGGCGGTTGGTGCTTTTCTCCGAGCGCGTTCAGCTGTCCAATGACGTTGTGTGAGCAGCAGTTCGAGATGCTGTGGTGCTTCACAGGTCTCGGAGGAAGCCTGCGTTCACCCACCAAGTGTTGATGGTATTGTGTGATTGGGGGAGTCCTAACTAGTGGGTGGAATTGGAGGCGACTAAATTTGGGGAGAAAATTGGGTAAAAATCAAAAAAAAATAAAAATAAATAAAAATTCACACATAATACATTCCTATACATTCCTAAAATCTGATCGGTGAAGACAGGGGTCGCCAACCCAAATTCAGGAGCCTCAATATTTGATGTCCATTCTACCATCTTGGCTGTAAATATGTCTCAGTATGTGCCAGTATAGGCTAAAAAATATAAACAGAAATGCAGACTTAGTTTGCTCTGCTTTAAGCTTTAGCTCAGCTATAGCAGCTTTTCTCACATCTCTGGCAGGAAAATTTTCCTCAAAAATGGAACAGTTTCTCGTAAAACATCTCTCAACGTTCGACTTTTTGCGAAGCTGAAGTCAGCTTCTTATTCACCAGCTCCTTGCTCGAAGTCATGAAGATGAAGTCAGTTTCTCGTTCGAATTTGGTGCCACAGTTACATTCTGGCGCCTCAGGCACCATTTAAGGTGGAATGGGAAAATTCAAACGAGAAACTGACTTCATCTTTGCGACTTTTTAGTGTTTGACAGCTTCTCGTTTTCTGTTTCAAATTCTGTATTACTCCACAAAGCCACAAAAAAGTGTGCTATGTTATGTCAAGTATAGGAAATTCTGGCTTCTACACTCAAATGCAGGACGGAATTGTGCACACCTCAGTGGTTATTGGTCAGACATAGTATGCATTGTTTGGTGCAGGTGCCAGTATTTGCTGAGATCTGAAAGCCATTTGTAACAACCTCTGGTTGAAATAGTTTTTCTTTGTGTCTCTGTGGCCATTTTGTGTGTTTTCCCTCGTTTTCCCCTGATGACGCAGGTCTGTGACTGACCACACAGGGGCGCACTAATGTATAAGAGGTTGCAAAGCCAACGATCAGGGCTCTCTCCCCTTTGACATGACCTGAAAGAACACCTGTCCAGACAGGCTGGCACACAACTCTTCACTTTGCTTTGCTTGTAAATTTTGTGGAAGCTTTATTAGATTTTGTGAAACTCTGTGAACATTTGGGAACCTATTAGTTATTAGTTATTGTAATTGAATTACATTCTAACAGAGCTTATTTTGTCTATTCAAATTGCTACACCAAATCTGTAACAATTTAAATTTGTGGTCCTCATTACAAAAAAAAAAATTGAGATGGCAAAGACATAATACCGTGATATAATATCATAACACATAATATGGTATCTGCTGACAAGTGATCTTAAAGCATGTTGTAATTTTATATGAATTATTGCTCACTTGCTGAAATTATTGCTCATCTGCTGAAAGATTTTATCTGAATTTGATTAAAACATTTTTACATGTATAGTACTGTTTGTGAAAAGAAAATATTTTGTTTTTACATTTTTATGTTGAAGATTTTGACTTTGAAACATAGGTCTATCTGTACTGAATGTAGATTTTTCTGATTCATTTTTCTCATTTGTAAAGCACTTTAAATGACAGCAGTGTCTGAAAGGTGCTATATAAATAAACCTACCTTGCCTAGATTGAATCTACAAGTTAATTAATTGTATAAACCACTTATTATATAATGACATTAAAATAATTATGTGGTATAAACAGAATGTAAAATGACCTATTTTGAATGCTTACCCTTACTCCCTGTTATCCCTTTATCTCCCTTGAGCCCTGGAAACCCAGCTCTGCCTTCAAGACCTGCTGGTCCTGGGGGGCCTCTTGAACCAGGCAATCCTTGCAGCCCTGAAAGAAGAATTGAAGTGAAGTGCACCATAACGGCACACGAGAATGATCGCAGACATGTTTTTGGCTTTATTTGCATACTGCTACAGATTACTTACCTTTGGGTCCTGGAGGTCCACTGAACCCAGTAACTCCTGAGGGCCCCTCTGTACCTCTCAAGCCCTTTGTCCCTGGGGGCCCAGGTGGTCCCACATCCCCTTGGTCTCCTGGGTGAGGGAAAATCAAACCTGGAGGACCAATTTCACCTGGTGGACCTAAGACGAAATAATAGTATGAAGAACAGTTGAGGAAAAAGTTACTACCGTGTTGTTGCATCGTTTAACAACATATGGCCGGGTCAAACCCCCCAGGGCCTGGCAATCACACATCATGTAACGGATTCCACCGAGTTAAAGGGCCTATATCACTGAAAACTAATTTTTTTTTTTAATTAAAGAGCTTAATGTAGTATATAAATACTGCTACTGTTTCAAAATGCACCATTCACACTGCCCAGTCCATACAGTCCAAATATGACGACAAAGCTGCAAAAACCGTCCATTTTGAATTCACTGCTTTTGTGATGTCATGAAAACCAACACATTTACATGTATCCACCTATTCAGCCTACAGCAGTTTTGCACTGCCCACTCACACTGAAGTTATATGGAGTGTTTCAGCCCAGCTTGCTTTTTGAATGAGGCACAACACAGAACAGAGCTCACTTACATATATATTAGTCTTAAAGACACTGTAGTGACTATCAGAGAACCAATTTCTTAGGCCACGTTCACACAGCAGGTAAAAGTGGCCCAAATCTGATTTTCTCACCAAATCTGATTTTTTTGTTTGGCTGTTCACATTATCTATCTGAACAGATCACGCTCCCAAAACCGACCCGCATGCGCAAAAGAACAATTCTTCACGTTGCTTCACGTGGCTCATCCAGAGGTAAACAATCATGACTGCTAATGAACGCCAGTCGCTCCCGGAGGGTTCAGCTTCATCTTCGCCAGCATCACAGGAGCCATCATGAAGCTTCACTGACTGACAGCTGGGCTCATCACCCAGAATGTGTTCGAGCTCGCCGTAAAAAGGGCACGTTATTCGTCCACGGCCACTTCTTTGGTTTGCATCCTCGGGTTCTTTAAACTTTGCTTTCAGACTTTAACTGTCCTTTAATGCTGCTGCCTCGTTCTCCTACAGCCGCGTTCAGCCATTTTTTTTCAAAATCTCTTCAAACATTGAGGGTTTAGGATGAGTCTCTTCTAATTTTTGTACAGAAATATCAACCCAAATGTTTATGAGTCTCAGCAGCGCAAAATTCTGACGAATGTTGAGATGGATTGACGTAAAAAAACGCATAAATTCTGATCTGACTGTTCAGAATGAGTCGCATTGCTGCAGATCGGATACGGATTGGATTTCAGTACCACATATGAAAGCTTCTCAAATCGGAATTGAAAATGTCAGAATCAATGTGGTTTTTGTTGTTCACACCGACACAGACAGCACATCTCTGTCACATATGAAGAAAAAAATCGGTTTCGGGCCACTTTTACCTGCTGTGTAAACGCAGCCTTAGTCACTTGTGCGGGTGGGTAGAATGTTACTTTCCGTGCATCCAGTAAACAAATGTCCAAACTAAATCGTACTGTTGGGTGGTGTACCTGTTTACTGAGACATTTCTCTATAGAAACAAACTCTTTTACCAGAGATGATAAATTATTGTCACCAGTGATGAACATGGCAAAACTTGCACTGCAGTACTATAATCCAGTCAAGGCTTTGTTTGATACAACAACTACGGTAAGAACCGCATGTTCCTGCCACCTGAGATTCTACCCATTCTGTTTCCTGCGACTATAAGTGCCTGACTTGTCACCTGACCTGTCACCTAGCACTGCTCGCCCCCTAGTGTTCCCAAGAACGCACTTTGTTATTTTATTAGGTAATTTATTTACAAAGACAAAATTACACATAAGCCTAATGTGGCTCCTACAGGCACAGTGACAACAACATCCTGTTTTATTTAAGGCATTAAGAGAGGCTGCAAAATGGTCATGTAAAAATACATTAGGACACAAACATAATAAGTGGAACTTTAATATTTCCGATCAGTTTAGTCATTCTGCAAGCAGTTAAACTCCATAATTAAGATGCAATTTAAAAACTTCAAATATTTACATGTAAAAACTATTTTGGCTTGCAGGGTAATAATTAAAATGGTTTAAGTCTACCATACATAGCTTAGGTTCTAGCAGCTCTACGACTTGTTTTGGGCTTCACATTTTCACATCTATGACTGAAAAATATCAATAGAAGAAGAATAAAGAAGAGAAAGAAGTAGTAGAGGAAGAAGTAGAAGTAGAGAAAAAACAAGAAGGAGTGTCTCAGCACAGCAAACTTTTACATACAATAAAAAAATAGATAAACGACCCACAAAAACAACCAGTCAAAATTCCACAAACCTGGAGGTCCGCTGAGTCCAGTTGGGCCTGGGTCCCCAGTGTCTCCTGGAATCGATATGTCACAGTTTCTGCCTTGGACACCAGGTGGACCATAGAGGCCTTGGGGACCTAAAGAAAAAAAAATATATTTATCAAATTAAGCAGATGTTACAGAATAAAAACAAATTGGCACCATCATCAAACTGTACTCAAAGCTTTTAGTACTCTTCTTACACGGAGTGTTCTATAGTAGGTCCTGTAGGACCTGGAACACCAAAGTGCAAATGACCCAAGCACTACGGGGTCTTTTTTTACCTGTTTTACATGATCAAAATTGAGATAAAAAGGAAATATTGTGATGAACATTTGATACACAACTCAGCCCTAATTCAAACAATAAAAGTAAGCATGGCAGCAATTTGTTGAGACCTGGGTCTCCAGGCTGGCCTTTCAAGCCTTTCTGTCCTGGATGGGAGATTCCTGGATTTCCTGGGGAACCAGACAGTCCCTGGTTTCCAGGATCACCTTGTATCCCAGGAGGACCTTCCATATCGGGACCTGGGAATGAAATATTACAAATCAGCCATATTTATTTACACAGCAAATATGATAATGCTGCCATCCAGATTAGAAGTACTCAAATCAAGCTTCCAAGGTCCAGATACTAATTTTATGTAAGGGTCAGATTTGATGACAAAATGGCCAACCAGTTACACTGACTGTACAGTCAGGTTTGGATTTAAGGTTTGAGTACTTCTGGTGTGATTATTCTCACCTCTACAGCCTTTCTCCCCTTTAGGACCAGGGAGACCATTGAGGCCCTGGAGGCCTGGAGGTCCCGGAAATCCTGGAAAAAAAAGGAATCCACTGTAATCCAAGCAGGAATGGAATGCAAACTAAATAGGTGAACATGCCCTTTTACAGTAAAACCCCAATGTAATCAGAGCCAGAAAGAGGAACATGGACGCCCTTCACACCATCATGCTCGAATGTTTGCTTGTTTTGCTTAACTACCTTTCAGACCTGGTGGACCTGGATAACCTTTATGTCCTGGTGGTCCTGAAGGTCCTGGAGGACCTGGAAGCCCAAAATGTGAAAAACCTGGTGGACCCACATTTCCTGCACACAGAAACACAGGCATCCAGTCAAGTCTAAGTTTATTTATATAGTGCTTTTTACAAACAGGTGTTGTCACAAAGCAGCTTTACAGAAAAATCCGGGTCTGAGCCCCCATGAGTGTCGCCAATGGCGACAGTGACAAGGAAAAACTCCTTAAGAGCAAGAGGAAGGAACCTTGAAAGGAATCAAGACTCAAAAGGGGAACCCATCCTCTGCTGGTTGACACCGGACAGGAAACAGCATCAGTGTAAAATATTAGAATACAAAACGGGGAAAAACAGGTGGAGCGATGGTTAATTAGATAGTTTGAGTTTATGCAGCAGCATCAGGAGGGTCAGTTCATGCAGGTGAGGTTTGCACAGCTTTGTACAGCATAAACTTCATGGTGGTCAGAACGGTGCAGATCAGCCAAGGGAGATGGAGCTCTGGTGACTCTAGCAGCTCTGGTGGCTCCCATGTGGCGACTCAGACAGACGTCGCTCAGGGGCTCAAATAAAGGGGGAGAGAGAGAGAGACAGAGAGAGATTTCAGACAGACAGAGACAGAGAGAGACAGAGAGAGGGAGAGAGAGAGAGAGAGAGAGAGAGAGAGAGAATAAGAGTTCATCCTAAATGAGTTAGGGAGATGTATTATGCACGATTTTCAGAGTTACGATATTTACAAAACCCTGTAGGAAATTACCTGGAGGACCACGCAGTCCAGGTGGTCCAGGAGAACCACAGGTACCAGGCAATCCCTGTGGCCCCTGGAGTCCTCGATCCCCTGGATCCCCTGGGGCTCCAACCTCAGCTGTGAGGGGAAGACATAACATAAAAAACTCAATTAAAGAAACAGTTAAGTGAAAAATCTAATTCATACAATTTTGCTTTCACTTTAAATGTGTGACAGTTAAGGTGCGCAGTTTGCACACTGCTAATTGGTGGGTATAAACTTAAATTACTTGTTTGCTATATTAGCCTCAAAGCTCTGGTGCTAAAGAAGCAAAATTACAGACACCAAACGCATCTTGACTAGATGGGATGATTTTTCACTGAACGTCTGCATTAAACTCAACTGTGATACTGAATCTATTGCTGGACTGTTATCTGGGCTAACCTAACCGCTAACCAGAGTCGCTGTCTCTTACCTGAGTCAGTAACTGACTCACTGACTGAGTCATTCTGTCTCTGACTCCCATTGTGCAAGAGTCACCTGAGACAACAGCAGGTGGCATATTTTTCCTTCATCTTGCTGTGCGAGAGGCATTATTTAACCATTTTTAACAGTTGAAGGGTGAAGAAAAAGCCACCAAGCACTAGTAACTAACCAATAAACACACCACAATGTAAACTGGACAGATGTGTTGCACTGACGTGCTGTGAGAAGATGAAAAGAACATGCTCTGATGTCCAATTCCCTCATTTTGTATGGACCATCATAAAAATGCTTTCCCACCAGCAGCGAACTGAACCAGGATTCACTTGGAAGCGGACCAAACCTGTTGTTTGGCACAGAACCGAGTACAGTTGGAGCATTCACACTTGTCAAAATGAACCGAATTAAAGAAAAAGTTTAATATGCTTTTCTGACTCACCACCAAGCCACCAAGCACTAGTAACTGACCAATAAATGTACAATGTAAACTGGAATAGCAGCTTTTTGATGTGTTGCTATTTTTAGAATCATAACTTTGTAATTTGCCAGTGCTATGTTAGCTAGCTTGGAAGCTATAATGCTAGGACTATTAATATGTTTCCCAGCACCTAGAGTATTTTTTTCACCTTACTATAATTAAGGCTGTAAAATAATTAAAACAATTAATTGTGATTAATCCCATTATTTTGTGTGGTTAATCATGATTAATTGCATTTGTCTTACTTAAGTAAGGCAAACGCAATTAAGTACCCTAGAGAAGGATTTTAAGTACCCTAGAGAAGGATTTGCCCATTTTAAAAACAATGCTTTTTGTTACAGATTGAAGAGTAGACAAAAATAAGCTTCATGAGAATGTTCAACCCCGTTTCCAAAAAAGTTGGGTCGCTGTGCAAAATGTAAATAAAAATGAATGCATTTATGTGGACATCATTTAAACCCTATATTTAATTGAAAATAGTACAAAGACAACACATCAAATGTTGAAATTGAGAAATTATTTTGTTTTTGTAAAAATACACGCCCATGTTCAACTGAAACTACTTTTTTTTGGAAACAGGGTTGTATTAATCACTTTCAGTAATTCAATAACATTATTTTCATCATATGAAATGAAAAACATGACCCTGAACATGAAAGTCACATGAACGCAGATTCCAATTTTCAGTTTCGGTAAGTTCGGCATCATGTTTCAACTCCTTTGCAAACGCAGCCTCTCGTTCTCATGCTGATACACTACATCTTGTTTCAAGGAGAAACAGAGCTCCATTTTGCTAGCGTTTTGTTAGCTTGCTGTTTTGGTGATTTATCCACAGTTCCACTGCAAACACTGTCCAGCCCAGTCTACTGAAGGCATCCTTAAGACTCAACGTCCTTCTGTGCTAAACAAATTCAGTCACAGTCACAGCAACAGCGCACAATCAGCTGAGCATCAGGCTGGAACTACAGATGTAACAAAGCATAAACATATATATACACCGATCAGGCGTAACATTATGACCACCTCCTTGTTTCTATGCTCATTGTCCATTTTATCAGTTCCACTTACTATATAGGTGCACTTTGTAGTTCTACAGTCACAGACTGTAGTCCATCTGTTTCTCTGCATACTTTGTTAGCCCCCTTTTACCCTGTTCTTCAGTGGTCAGGATCCCCATGGACCCTCACAGAGCAGGTACTATTTGGGTGGTGGATCATTCTCAGCACTGCAGTAAAACTGACGTGGTGGTGGTGTGTTAGTGTGTGTTGGGCTGGTCTGAGTGGATCAGACACAGCAGTGCTGCTGGAGTTTTTAAGCACCTCAGTGTCACTGCTGGACTGAGAATAGTCCACCAACCAAAAATATCCAGACAACAGCGTCCTGTGGGCAGCGTCCTGTGACCACTGATGAAGGACTAGAGGATGACCAACACAAACTGCGCAGCAGCAGATGAGCTATCGTCTCTGACTTTACATCTACAAGGTGGACTGACAAGGTAGGAGTGTCTAATAGAGTGGACAGTGAGTGGACACGGTGTTTAAAAACTAACACACCACCATGGCAGTGTTACTGCAGTGCTAAGAATGATCCACCACCCAAATAGTACCTGCTCTGTGAGGGTCCATGGGGGTCCTGACCACTGAAGAACAAGGTAAAAGGGGGCTAACAAAGTAAGCAGAGAAACAGATGGACTACAGTCTGTAACTGTAGAACTACAAAGTGCACCTATATAGTAAGTGGAGCTGATAAAATGGACAGTGAGCATAGAAACAAGGAGGTGGTCATAATGTTATGCCTGATCGGTATGTATATATATATATATATACATACATATATATATATATATATATATATATATATATATATATATAAATGGTAGTAATGTTAATAATTTATAGCATTACTTATAAATACATTAACTTTAACTGCTAATTATTATTATTGAGTAGTAGTAGTAGCAGTAGTAGCAATAGTCATAATAGTTGTTATTAGTAAACTAACAGTAGTATGAAAGTATGAAAACTCAGGCTTGATTAAAAGTGTATATTTACAGTTGTATGCAAAAGTTTGGGTGAAATTACGTTTTGTTAATTTTCTGTGAAAATAAGTGAACACACCTCTACAGAGAACATGTGCATTTTAATGCAAAATGATTGTTATTTACTGAATTTAACATTTTGGGAAAAAACAAAACATAAAATGTAGCGCTATTGTCTCACAGCAAGTAGAGCCTGGGTTTGATTCCCCAGCCGGGCGACCAGGGTCCTTTCTGTGTGGAGTTTGCATGTTCTCTCTGTGTCTGCGTGGGTCCCACAGTCCAAAGACATGCAGTCAGGCAGATTGGAGATACTAAATTGCCTCTAAGTGTGAATGTGAGCATGAGCACATATGTCTGTGTGTCTGCGCTGTGATGGACTGACGTCCTGTCCAGTGCCTCTCCCTGCCTTCCGCCCAATGACCGCTGGGATTGATTCATAGCACCCCCTCGCATCCCAGGAGGATAAGCGGCTTAGATAATGTGTGTGCACATAAAATGTGGCCTGTGCAAAAGTTACAGCATATATTTTGTTTACATACTAAAGTGTGTTCTCTGTAGAGGGTGTGTTAACTTCTAAACACAAAACGTCATTTGACAGGGGTGTGCAAACTTTTGCAAATATATAGACACGCATCCTGTACCATGTCCAGGAAAACCATGCTCACCATCACATTCTGAAAAAGGACATACATAAAGAGAAGATAAATACATCAGTTTTCATTGAACACAGGACTTATGAATTCAATCTTTAGAAACAAATGAAGAAAGAAAGAAATCTGACCGCTTGGTCCACTGACACCCTTAAAGCCCTTTGGTCCAGGTGGACCTGGATATCCCACAGAGTCTCCTTCATCACCTGGGAAAAACAGTTTGTTAGGTAATGTATCAACAACTACAACACAGATGGGAAATCTAAAAAAAAAAGCTTCAATAAGGCTAAGCCCTCAGCTGCAGTGGACGGGGGGTGTTTGAGAGAGGAGTGACAATGACATAGGTGTTGATATAATAGATAATACAGGGAGATTCACTCGAAAGAGGCCCTGAATATTCTGTAATAACTCTCGATAGGACGAAGCAATCTGAACAAAAACAACGTGCAATGTGCTCCTCAGTATATGGAGCTTCGAACAAGCTGAGATGCCCCTGTGTTGGAGCGATGAGGTACGTTTAACCTCTTTTATGCTTGGCGATATGTTCAGGAACATGGAACGCCGCGTCGAAATGTGTCTGGCAGAAAACGGAGATCACTTCCAGCATCGTATGTAATACAATCGATTACACATACGTCAAGGTATGTAGTGTATTTCTTTGGTTCAGATTTCTTCATCCTAAAGGGAGTTACAACAGAATATTCAGGGCCTCTTTTGAGTGAATCTCCCTGTACCGTTTTAAGAGGAAGATTATTTTTAGATATTGTCCTAATGTCATTTTAAAATCAAGGTGTTGATCACATCACAAGCAGTTTTAGATTACTGCCACCCAGTGGTGTATTGTTGTCTGGACAGGTGGATTTTCTGTACTTCAGGGTATCTTTTAAATGCAGGATCTAAATCTGGGTGAAAATTCTTGTGTAAAAAAAACAATTAAATACAAACTTATTAGAAAATGCTGCAAGTCAATGTAGCACTGTGAAAACAGCATTTACTTATTTTACAAAGTTTACATTGTTTCATACCCCTTAAGTTCAGAAAATTCTAATGTGTGAGATTTTACAACCTCCTGATGCCGTGCTGAATTGATGCTGTGATGTGAGGTGACATGACTTTGTGACTAAACATAGTTTTAAAAAGTTACAGAAAAAAACTGCCTTTTTGTTAAACTTTGCTGAGCTTAGCATCAGTGTTGTACAGGACTTGTGCATGCATTTTGTGGCAAGTTACATACATCATTAACCGATAATCAAATAGCTACCCCTTTTATATATATTAAATCTGCAGGATCTTGTTATTGGCAAATTGCTTCTGGGGGTCATTGGAGCAGCAGTGGACTGAGGAAGCGAGCCAAAATAACACTGAGAGTTTTGTAATTTTATTTAAACAAGTAAATTTTTCATTAAGCATATTAACCCTTTAACACTCCAGGCTTATTACATAAGGCCCAATCCCATTTCCCCCCTTGGCCCTACCACTTAGCTCTTAGCCATCTATTTCGCATGTTCACTGAGGTTTTTCAGAGGCACACACCAAAAGGAGTGTTATGAGAAAAAAACAAATGGCTTGGATTCCCACAAATGTGGGAATTGTCTCTGTTAAAAATGATGATAACCATTGTATTATCTTAGTTTAATGTTGTTTCGATGTATGTGATATGCTAATAGTATGCGGATGTCTCGGCAGCAAGCTGGCTAAATTTCCTGTTCCACCTTAAATGGTATGGCAGTTACATTCTGGTGCCTCAGGCATCAGAACTGCTGCTCCATTTAAGGTGGAATGGGAAAATTTATATGAAAAGCTGGCGAATGGCTGACTTCAGCTTCATATCACTGAAGAATTAGAGGTGGGTGATAATAAACAATTGCCCCCCTCTTTGAAGGCATATGTGAGGAGCTGAACTTTACTCTCCTCTGCTGTCACTGCAGACTGGCAGGGTCGCCTACAGAGCAGCGCTAGTAGCTGTTAATGAAGTAATGTTCTTTTTATTTCCCCATTTTGTAGGAAAGATTTCAACCACAACCCCTTGTAACTCAGTTCCAAGGGGCAAGGTGACACTTGAAAACAAGGGGTAGGGGTCAAAATAAGAAATGGGACTGGGCCTATGGCGTACAATTCAGTAACTACAGGGACTTCAATGCAAACTGGCTGAGCTTTTCTTAGGTTATAGAAGTGTGTAATAAAGCTTGGCCTGTTAAGGGGTTAACAGAAGAATTACATGTTTTTAAATGGAATCTGTTACATTTAGGACAGTGTATTCGGTTTTCAGCCATCACTACTTTTTCCAAAATATTCTGCCCAACACTGACCACGACAGTCTTACCTTTGATGCCTGGTAGCCCTCGATTGCCTGGTGCACCATTTAGTCCAGGAAGACCTGGACCACCCTGTATGGAAAAATATTGTGTTGTGTTGACCTCGATTTCATGTTTACAGTCCCTACAGGCATCCATTGCCTAACATAAGAGCCAGAGCAGGGTTTACCAGATCTCCAAAATGTCCTGGGAATCCTATGGCTCCTGGATATCCTTTGGGCCCAGGTGGACCTGGCGGTCCCTGAGGGCCACTTCTTCCAGGTAAGCCAGGGAAGCCTTTCTGAAACCCAGGGCCACCATTCAGTCCATCCAGACCATGTTCACCAGGTAATCCAGGTGAACCTTTAGGACCTGTTGATCAGGAGTTTGACAGAAAATATGATTTCTCTATTTCTGAATGTAACTAAGTACATAATGAGTACATACTAGATCAAAATATGGACACACATTTCATTGATTCAGTGACATGACACAAGAATATATTTTGATAGTGGTTTAGCTTTATAATGAATCATTAAAACTTTTTGATGATGTTGGTTACATTTAAAGGTTTGGTTCAACAAAAAATCCAACTTACAATTTTTCCCTTTACCACAAAATGCAGTCAATGGGCCAAAACATGTTTGATGTCTAAACGTGTTTTTTTTAGTTTTGCAGTTTGCTTATACAATAGAAGTCTATGCCACCCAAAATGGTTTTGGGTGACAAACTTTCTTGCTTGTTACATACATTAGCCTCATCACTCCAGTGCAAAACTAAAGAAGTAAGCTTCACCTAGCAAAATGTCTTGGCCAAGTGAATATACCTAAGGTAAGATGAAAACTGTGTAAATTTGTTTTCTGGTGAACCTTTCCTTTAATAATGGGTATAAAGTGCATGTCACTTTCAGTGAATGTCAATATACAATCCCTCAAAATATAAGCAATGTATTAATAAGCCCATGTACCTCTAGGTCCTGTGAATCCTGGTCTTCCATTGGGCCCAGGTAATCCCTTAATGCCTTTTATGGAATTTAAGAGGCCTGGAGGTCCTGGATATCCTTTGCTACCTGAGCAAGTTAACCACAGCACAATTCAAGATCATTTCATGGTACATAGCTCAAAGTTATGGTACGTGTTGCCAGTTTATTATGTTGTATCTACTTTCACTGGTCATTTTATCACTTGTGTTATTCTTTTGTTGGTATACAGTTACAGACTGTATCCCATCTTATGTTGCACAATAAAGCCACCCTTTATCTTGTCCATTAGTGAAAAATGACCACCATAGGACCACCACTAACCAACCCAATTCCAAAAGGTTGGGACACTAAGTAAAATACCAATATAAATAGAAAGCAGTGATGTATAGATCTACTTTGATCTGTGTTTGAACAAAAATAGTATGAAGATAAGATATTCAATATTTGGTAACACTTTGCTGTAGGGCAGGGTTACGAAAGCTACATGATGCCTACATAAGCGCTTCATGACAACTGACAGAAACATACATAAACATTTGTAAACACTTGTTCCAAAAGGCATCAGCTGTCATAAAGACTGCTTTTGTCAACTTTGATGTCAAGTTGAAATAACAATCACATCAAGAGACATATTTTTGGTGATATTAAGTTGTGTCATGACATTTTCTGAGGTGAAATGACATAGCATGTTATGACAACTGACTTTGTAGCTCTTTTTCTTTGGTTTTGGTATGTCAGGGTGACACAGTGCTGATGATGTGACACAGCTTGACAGAAGGAGGCAGTTGGTAAAACTGACCAAAAGTGAGAACTTCAAGGTCTACACAAGAGCAGTAGTAGGTTGGGCACTGATTTTGGGCAATTAAACCTGGCATTCATCAATGAAAACAGTCATCGTCTGAACAATCGCGTACTCTTAACTCAATATCTAGACTTGTGTTTTATATATATATATATATATATATATATATATATATATATAGTATATGTATTTTACCATATTTAACTATATGGTATGGCTTGTCTTTTAGGATATAGATTCCTGCAGTCTCAGTCTATAGGATTTTGGTGTGCTTTTGCTCCCACTGTTTGCACTTTTTGTGCTGGTTAAGAGAATCTGCTAAATGACAAAATAATTTTTATGAATCTTTAATCAAATATCATAACACTGTAATGACACTTATGTATATTGTCTCTGGCCCTTAAGTAAGTTCTATTTTACAGTTTATAATATTTTTATGATCCTTATACAAGTACCATGACACTGACTCTTGACAGGTGTTATGTCAACTTGACATCAAAGTTGACAAAAGCAGTCTTTACGACAGTTAACGCCTTTTGGAATAAGTGTTTATAAACGTTTATGTATGTTTGTGTCAGTTGTCATGAAGCGCTTATGTAGGTGTCATGTAGCCTTTGTAACCCTGCCCTACGGTAAAGTATTACTTATTCTGAAATTAATGCCTGATACACATTCCAAACAAGTTGGGACTGGGGCAATTAAAAACTAGGAACATTGTGAAATGTTCAAAAAAAACATCTTATACGGGTGATGTAACCATGCTTGGATACAAAAGGAGCATGTAGGAAAGGCCTAGTCATTTAAGAGCAAGGATGGGTCGAGGCTCATCATATAAAAAATGCATCAGCAGAAAATCTAAGTGTTAAAACATGATGTTCTTCAGGGAAAAATTGTAAAGATTTTAGATATTTTACCATCTACAGTGCATAATAAAATCAAAGGAGACTCTACAACTTAATGCCAGAGACCTTTGACCCCTGCACTGCATTAAATAACAGCATGCAAATTAAGACTGTACTGTGCACACTGGAAGCCATATATGAACAAATTCTAAAAATGCTGCCAACTTCTTTGAGCTCAGGCTAACGCACAGTGGAAACGTGTACTGTGGTCTGACCAGTCAACCTTTAAAACTGTTTATGGAAATAATGGACATTGTGATCTCTGGGTCAAAGTCTGTCAAGGTATGTGGGTATTATTGGGCAACTTGCACTTAAATTCTGGTGTCACATTAGCAGGGGCTAAACTGGTACAAATGCATCAAGCACAGCAGAGTTAATTAACTGGAGTTTATACTAGCGCAACAACAGTGGCTGCATGGTCAGAAACTGACCATAGGGGAAGGATTAGATGATGAACACAAACTGTCAAATTGTGCATGGAAAAAGATTAGTTTTATTCTCGAGCCGTATCTCAAAGCCAAGGATGCAGCCGAGGAGGCTGCACTTCTCAACTGTTATTGTGCCGTTTTTGTAGGATCATTTAAAAAATATCAGGTCAGCCGTGGTCAAACAGTGGTCCCTGTCGATTAATGAACAGGTTAGGGGCGGACAATCTGTGCAACAACTGATGAGCTACAGTCTTCAACTATAAACCTACAAAGTGCACCTGTATGGTAGGTGTTTCTGATAAAATGGCCATCAAGTCTCCCAGGTGATACACTGAGAGACACTGAGACTCTTTAACTCATTCAAATTGCCAGATAAATTATGAGACATAGTAAAATGGATCAGCATATCACTGTCATCGGAACAAAACCTTGTATCTTCAAAATGGTAACTTTACAGGAGAAGGAAAAAACCTACTTTACTTTTAATGTAAGTCAATGGAACCAGACTTTTTTCCCCAGTCATTTTGGGCCATTTCTTTTGGAAAACAAGGTTTTCTGACAGCCGCGATATGGAATTGGAGCTTTCTGTGTACTACTGTGTTTCTCATCACTATATAAAAGATGGATAAAAGTGGCCTTTTATTGTTGCATGCAGTGCAATGTTTCAGAGTGAGCATATGTGCTCACTTAGAACACAATTTGGATCACTATGCTTATTACTGATTTGTTTTATCAGAATTTAAATAGATACGTCATGTTTTTTTACATTGCACAGATATTGGAAGACCGAGCTCAAAGGGGGGAAGATTAACACCCATTTTTGCACAGGACTTAAAGAGTTAAACAGCCTTCTGTTAATACTAAGGTAAAAACGGTGCAAACATTAGTACCTTTGACTCCCTTGTAGCCCACGTCTCCTGTCACACCAGTTTCACCCTCATCACCTCTCACTCCTGGTCTACCTGGTGGCCCTGGAAAACCTGGGTCTCCAGGTAATCCTATTAATCCAGCTAACCCAGGATGTCCTCTAATTCCTTCAGAACAGATTTGTGCATGCATTTCAAAACATGTGCACAGTCATGGATTTAATCATAAAGAATTAAGATACTGAATACAGCAGTATTTTTTAACATGAAAACCAGTTCTTACCTTTTGATCCAGAAAGCCCAAACAGCCCTGGTTCACCAGGTGCTCCTATTAAGCCAGGAGGTCCAGGGGCACCAGGAGGACCAGGTGGACCAGGCTGTCCTTGAGGTCCCTTCAGTCCAGTTCCAGGAAAACCAGCCAGTCCCTTTTCTCCTTTAACGCCATTGATGCCTTGTAGGAATCACAGTGCCAGTAAGTGATGTGACTGTCATTTGAAACTGCAGCAAATTCTTAGTGTTCTTAGTGTCTTACCCAGCAGCCCAGTCAGGCCTGGACGTCCTTGGGGACCTGGGGGGCCTTGCTCACCACTACAAAAAGTAGGGCTAACCCCTGGTAGTCCAGGTGGACCTGGGTCCCCAACGTCTCCAGGCTGTCTATCACATTCTATCACATGTCCAGGATTTCCAGGTTGCCCTGCACAAAATACAAGAAGTTAATCCTTAGATTTTATCACCAGTGAAAATTAAAACATGAGGTCATTTTTCAGGAATTATTCATCCATTGTACTTCAATCAAACAAGAGGAAGAAATCTATTAAAAATACACATAAACTACATGGCCAAAAGCATATGGACACTCCTCCTAATTACTGAGTTTGGGTGTTTTAGCCACACTTATTACTAATATGTATATGAAATCAAGAAAATAGCCATGCAGTCCCCATAAAAAAAAACACAGGCAGTAGCACAGTCGTACTGAAGAGATCATTAATTTTAAACATGACACTGTCATAGGATGAAACCTCTGCTGCACGCCAGCTTGTGAAATGACTGATAGGTCTGCCCTGGTCAACTGTAAGTGCTATTACTGTGAAATAGAAGCATTTAGGAGCAACAGCAGCTCAGCCACGAAGCTGCAGACCACACAAACTCACACAGCGGGGTCCTGTGCACACATTGAGCTCCATGAAGACATGGTTTGATGAGTTTAGTGTGGAGGTACTCCAGTGGCCTGCACAGAGCCCTGACCTCAACCCCACGGAACACCTTTGGGATGAATTAGAACGTGGACTGCAAGCCAGATCTTTTGTCCAACATCAGTGCCTGACCTTACAAATCCTCTTTTGACTGAAATTCCCAAAGACACACTCCAAAATCTTGTGGAAAGCCTTCCCAGAAGAATGGAGGCCGTTATAGACATAAAGGAGGGACAACTCCTCATCAGTACCCAAGGTTTTGGAATGAGCCATGTAGTGTTTCCATGTATTGTCATTGTTAAGCACTGAAGCAAAAGTAACAATGCTGGAAATTAAGACTCAAACCTGCCAATATATAATGTAATTTGAATATAAATGCAATTGAAAAAAAAATTAAGAAATAACATTTGTAGTGGCAGCTGATGGTCAAGTTTGGAATTAAGCACTACAATGAACAGAATAAGTGATTGGGAAAGCATTTAAGCCTGTCAAATACAGAGAAAGGTAGAGAAAATATTATGATATACATGTACCGCTTAATCCATCAGGACCTCGTTGACCCCGCGTGCCCTTTGGACCAGGGTTTCCAGGAAATCCTGTTTGTCCAGGAGGGCCTGACCTGCCTGGGAGGGAATCTCCTGGAGGCCCCTTTAACCCTGGACGTCCTTGCGGCCCTGGTGATCCCCTTGCACCGCTAAAGCTACGTCCAGGAGGACCTGGATCACCTGGATCACCTGGTAATCCTGGAAAACCTATAAGGGCATAAACTGCTATCAGTAATCAGAAACTATAGTATCTAAACAGATAAATGCATGGGATTCCAGCTTACCTGGACGTCCATACCCCCTACTGTCTCCATCATCTCCTTTTTCGCCTTTTGGTCCTGGTAGACCAGGAGAGCCTCCATATCCAGGTGGTCCCGGTGGCCCAGGGGGTCCTAGTTATCACAGAAGACTTGTAATTTTACCACCAATGCACTGTATGAAACTAGCAAATGCAAATGATTGCAAAGGATTTTTTTGTGAAGCACAGAAGTCAACCTGGGTCTCCAGGGTCGCCTGGCGGGCCTTCTGGGCTAGGGTTGCCCGGAATACACTGAACCGAATCCCCTAAAGCACAAACGTAAAACATGCACTCAGATAAACGATCATGAGAAACCACTCGAGTTAACATCAATAGTGAAATATGAATTTGGAATATGGATCTTATGGGTTTATAATAATTATTGATAATTTACATCTTCTTGCTTGAAACATTTGAAACAAAAATTTGATATGTGCAATAGGCGCTCACAATGTGCCTACAGTTAAATGTATTAATCACGCACTATTTGCTTCCTCGTGAGGCTCATTCTCTCTCTCTCTCCCTCTGTTTGTCCTGTATGTCTCCTCCCATGTCTGGTTCCTATCTCTGTTATAGGTTGGCCACGGTGTCAATCGTCATTAGAGGCTGGATGTCTACCATTCGATGACCAATCATCGCGCGCTGGAGGAGGGACCTGAATCTTAAAAGCTTGTTGAGAGGCCTGCATTTTCCTTGTGCCCATAGCTGTTTAGTGTGCTTCTGGTCTTTGCTGTTTACAGACACAGATGCATAAGCTTTGCACTCTTTCACTATTTCAGTATCTGCGCTAACTCTGTCAAGCCAGTTTGCTGATTTGTCTTGAGTATGTCAGCTTTGCACCTTTATGCCTCGAGTTCTTGAATCACCCTAGCTTTACTGCCTTGCTGCTTTACATCTGTCTATTCTATCTCTCTCTCATACACTGCGGTGCTTTCTTGGGGTTCTGGACAGGCTAGATGGGAGCGCTCATACGTTTTACTCAATGTAGCAGTCCAATGTATAGACACATTAGGTAAGGGGTGGGCACCAATCCTTCTATTTATGTTTTTGGTGTATGTAAGATCAGTGTAGATAGCTATTTCAATTTGCTGTTAGGTGAGAACTTAAACTAAAGAGCTAGGGTAATTTTTTTCTTTTTGTTTGTTTTGATGATTTTTTTCCTTTAGCACCGTTCGGGTCCAGAATCTTGTTAACTCAAGAAGCAAGTATAACTGCTATGTTGTAAATGTTGTTAATAGCAGTGGTGGACAGTAACTAAGTAAATTCGTTACTGTACTTAAGTAGTTTTTTCGTGTATCTGTACTTTACTGAAGTATTTCCATTTTGGGTTACTTTTTACTTTCACTCCACTACATTTCAAAGTCAAATATCTTACTTTTTACTCCACTACATTATGAGAAATCTGTCGTTCCTTTTGGCTTATGTGTGTATAAAAACGTAACATGTCAAAACGAAAGAAGCGCAAGGCAAGAACACCAATCAGGCACAGCGCGCACTTTGTTTTGAGCTTGTTTTGACCTGTTGGACATACCGACCCAGTGCAGCACACAGTTCAACATCAGTGCAGCAGCATAACATTTTGGGAGTGTCTATTCAACATAAATGATGAACTAACCTAACTTTGTGTAAATAGACCACAATATAGAAATATGTATACATATGCAGTTGTGACTGACGCGTCTTTTTTCTGAATTTATACAAACACATTTCATTTTATAGTAAATTCATTTTGGCTAGTTTATGTTTATGAACAGAGACCTACAGATGCAGTTTAGTAAAGGAAACTCATTTGTGAATCTGAGTTTAAAGCAAGTTTTTATTAAACTTAAACTTGTAACTAAGTTGCAAATAAACCTTAAACTGAAACTTTGCTTGTTTGCAGAAAGTTATTTCAGAGCCACTCAGTTCTACCTGATGGAAATTGTTTGCCTTTAATGTTTTGTGCTTATGATAATTTTAAAAGACATCAGCGTCACTAATTAATGACATTCTATTAAAAGACTGGTTTACCAAGAGAGACACTGGAGTATTTTCACCTAAAATGAGTTAATGAAGCGAGTCTTGTTATAAAAATGATAATAGGACATTAGAGTCATAATTAATCTTTTAGTACTTTTACTTTTGATACTTAAGTATATTTGGAGGTACTTTTACTCAAGTGGAGGTCTAAAGGGAGGAACTTCTACTTTTACTGGAGTAATATTTTACCTTGGGTCTCTCTACTTTAACTCAAGTACATGATTTGTGTACTTAGTCCACCACTGGTTAATAGTGTAAATAATCATATTCTTGGAAGTCTCACTGTGGTCCTGGTGTGATTGACTGTAACATTACCCTAGCATGCATTAAATGGTAAAAGAAACAGAAACCAATTTGTGTCTTGTTCCTTCCTGGTTCGTGCTCCAAGCTTCACATTTTAAATCATATGTTACTGACCCCACCGTCTCCTAGATTTGCCTGCAGGGTTGTAACAGTTCTGTTAATAAATGAGTTTAGGAAAACAAAGTCTGTAAAACAATAACAAAGACTGGGAGTGTATATCATTGTGTGTCACAGCACATTTTGCTACGCGTCGTCTCACACACATACGTCAGAGCTCAGACTGGGCTCAGAGCTCAGAGCCTCAACCTTGTTTGTTGTGGTGAGTTCTGGCAGTGGATGAGGAAGAGAACACAGGTGCTGCTGCTGTCATAATCGCTCTCACGCAGACGACCGTGGTGCGGGGGTGAAGCTAACTTGAGCCACTCTAGCCAGACTGTGTATCACCTTCAGTGCTGCTTTCCATGATAAAGAAACTAACCAAATAAAATAACTTGATAAATAAAAGAGTGAGACTAAAAACAAGAACTGAATCTAAAACTGTGATAATTAAGACAATATTTTTTTTTAGTGCACACTTTGCTTCTAGACTCTATTCTATAAACGCTATTCAATTTGTAGAACTGACTCAGATTTTGTCAGTAATCCGATCAATGTGTTTACATGCGCTTGAGTAATCAGATAATGGGAAAACTCCAGGTCTGCATGAGTCAGACAGTAATCAGATTTCTGCTTTACAACCAGTCAATAAACTCACAGAAGAAGACGTGACGTAAACGTAATGTAAAACTCTTTTTTAAAAAACATTGTCATTATACCTGAAAAATGAACATACATCATCTGGAAGATCTGTCAAGCATGTATTTGGTTTCAGCGCCGCTCTAAAAGTGTTTTGCTGCGTCTCGTGGCAACACTGCTCACTTATTTTCCGGTACCACCATCTGTTTTTGCGCATGCACAGACTGAGAAATCCGAAAGAAATCATAGTAAGAGTTTACATGCACTGAGAAATCTGATTACTGAGCTAAAATCCAGATCGCTTTATCAGATTTCTAGACCTTACTCCGATCTAAGAAAACAGAGTGTGCTGTTTACATTCCATTTGAACAATCAGATAACTGCAGAAATCCGATTATGAACAGTTGCTGGGCTTCAGCCTGACCATTAATCCATTGTTGTCACCCACTGGAAACATTCTGAACTTCTGTAATGAACATACTTAAAATTATGGGTGATAAATTGTATTTCAGGTACTTGATTTTGAGAATGAGTATTTCGAGTACTTGTAAGACTGTAAAATGCTGTTTGGGCCAGCCCACTGATACACTGATACACTCCTAAGACAACACAACTCTCAGTGAGTTTTTCTCAGTGTGTGTGCAAATGTACCTCGAGGACCTGGAGGCCCAGGAAATCCAGGTGGGCCCTTCAGGGCCCTGGTCTCCTGGTGGCCCGGGTGGCCCCCTTTGCCCTGGAACACCTAGGCCTTGAGGACCTGCAGGCCCTGTGAGTCCTTTAAGCCCTGCAGCACCGGGGTATCCTTTGAATCCTTTGAGACCTGGATAACCATCTCCCTAGCAGAAGGAACAGCATTTGACAAACAAGTACAATCGCTCAAAAGCTGCCACCAATTTACTAAAACTGTAGTTGTACTTGTTGTTGCCCTGCCAACGTACAGTACATGAAAAATCCTCATTCCTCATGCTTACAGTCACAGATTGTAGCTACACAATTTATTACCCCCCTTTACCCTGTCCCTCAATGGAAAGGGACCATTTTGCCACTAATATGGCATACCTACTGTATGTGGCAGGTGTTTCTGATAAAATGGCCAATAAACGTATGTACAAGGTAGCTGTATCTAATAAACCGGCAACTCGTGTATGGCTAGTGTTTAATCATGGACTCACTGGTGGTCCTGGTTCTCCAACCACACCAGTTTGTCCTGGAAGGCCTTGTCGACCACTAGCACCTGATGGACCAGCGGGCCCAGGATCGCCCTGATCTCCCTTTATGCCTTTGTAAAGTAGAACCAAAATACAAATTAACAGCACAATATTTCAATGTGAAATAAAATACAATCAACTGGTTGACCTAAACTAAATCTTACCTCTTACACTTGAAAAATAAGGGTCTCCTTTCTGACCTTTGAAACCCCGAGGACCAGGTAGACCTTGCCTTCCCTGGAGATTAATGGTTTCATAATTAGCATTACGCCACAGTTAGCTCCCACCACACAGTCTGATGGGCTGAAAACTGTTCTATGCGTGTTATAATATTTTACAACAGCACATTTTTTTTTGACCATAACTGTATCATTATACTAATCACTGGTCGCAAGGCAACAACAGTAGCTGTTATTTGTGACTTGTGGTGAAACTACTTTTTTGTTGGCAAAAAAAATTGGCAATATTAAAACACATATCTGAAATACATTACTGCATGAAAGTCAGACCACCATTTCAGTTATTAATTTCCATTCAAAATGTGGTGACATTTAAATATGGTATAAAATAAAAATATACAGGATGTGGCCACGACTTAGTAAAGCGTGGGAACGAGATCACGGCTTACTAAGTCGTGGCCACACATTAGGATCTCGTTCCCACGCTTTACTAAGTCGTGGCCACAACTTAATCATCTCATTCCCATGCCTTACTAAGTCGTGGCCACATCCTGTATATTTTTATTTATACAGGATGTCACCAGCGGGGCTCCGTATAATGGCAATATAAGAAGCAATAGATTCTTTTTAGAATAGTGCGTGTAAACAGAAATCTAACTAACCTTTCCTTTAAGCAAATAGCAAAATAAAGAAATTACAAAAACACCGTTCACTATGGGGCAAAATAAAAAATTAAACACAAACAGCTACTTACATCTGAACTGCAAGTACATTTTTATATACCGAAAAGCTGAAAAACAGCCAGGATTACCTCACCTCACCTTCTTTATCAAGGCTAATAAGAAATAAATATAAATTTATATTTATATAGAATTAATAAATCTTTTTTATATTTATTTATTTATTTATTTATTTATGTGGGCGGCATAGTGGCACTTCTGCCTCATAGGAAGAAGGGCCTGGGTTCGATTCCCCGGACGGGCGACCAGCGTACTTTCATTGCTTCTCATTCTCCAGCTTCTTGTTCTAATTTTCCCGTTCCACCTTAAATGGTGCTAGAGGCACCAGAATGTAACTGCTGCACCATTTAAGGTGAAATGGGAAAATATGAACAGGAATCTGGCGAATGAGAAGCGACTTCAGCCTTGTGACTTTTTAGTGTTTGACAGTTTCTCGTTGCAGATTAAACGTATCAGGAAACCAGCTGGAGTGATTATAAACGCAAGTAAGTGCATTCGTCTTCAAAATTATCGATGTTCATCTTAAATCTTTGCCTTTTTGTTAGCTACTAGCTAGACGAGACTGTTGTCTGCGTTGTTATAGTGACCAGCAGTCTGCACACCAACCGTCAGGGTTAAATAGGGAGAAATAGCAGTTGTACATTAACTCCAGACCATTTATTGTTAAAACTGTGTTAGAACAATCAGCAGGGCTTTATTTTACTGCAGAGGAGGATTATTTTATTTTCACCTAAACATCTATTTCTGCTACACAACAGCCACAACAGGGCACTAAAAGAGCCACATGTTGCAGACCCCTGCACTAAACACTGAAATAAGTGAGATTATATTTGGTTGTTTCTGTGCCATTTTCTATTGAATATGTTTTCTGCTTTTTTTCCCAAATATTGAAATGAATAACTTGTACTTAATGCTCATTTTTATTGGAAATTAAATAAATGAAAAGTGGTCTCTGACTTCTGAACAGTACTGTATGCACTGCATTCTGGATTCCTCAAAGGAAAGATCTTTGTGGGTTCACTTACAGGAGGGCCGTTCAGACCTGGGTCTCCTTCTGGCCCTGGCTCACCCTTCTGTCCTGCAGCCCCAGGAAGCCCGTTATATCCTGGAGGTCCAGGTGGGCCGATAGGGCCAGGCTGTGCTGATCCACCAGAGGTGCAGTAATTGTCACCTGAAAAAATGAGTAGGCATTAAATCATGTGTTCACTAAGACAATCTCTAATCTTTAAAGGTAAAACACACACAAATACACACCTTTTTGCCCTTTAAGTCCTCGTTCCCCAGGAAATCCTCTGTCTCCTCTATCCCCGGGCAGTCCCACAGGACCAGGGAGGCAATGACCTTCAGAAACACAAAAACCATGGGATGTCAAAACAGTGAAAAAAAGTGATGTATGGAATTTACTTGATCCAAATATTTGTCTGTAAATAATGTTACATATAGAGTATAAAACACCTCACTATGAATTTCTGAGATTTTGATGTAAGACCGTAAGGGAAATGGAGAGTGAACACAGTAAGAAAACAGAAAAAGGTGAAGAGATGTCTCAGAAAAAGTGAATTACTTATAATAAATTACCAGATTCAAATTCAAGAACTTTCATTACATGACAGAAATTTCTCTGATGTGCTGTAGCCCATCTGATATAATCATGGCTAAACACAATAAGGGAGTACCATGTAAATGCAAGGGCATAGATACAATTAGTAATTGTTGCACATTGTGTAGCATAAGGCATAATGTACATAAAATAAGCTTTTGAGAGATGTACGTGCTGGATGAGCCTGCTCAATTTTTAATTCTGGGGTCAAGATTCGATTAGATTTTCAGTTATTTTACATCTTAAAAAATGTCTTGATTCTATAGAGCTCTAATTATGTACTATTATATGGTGTGGGTACATGCAGAGCATAAGCCCCACCCCCTCTTCACCCCCTGTACTCTGATAGGCTGCATACAGATGCCTAGTTTTGATCAGTGACAGTGGGTTCCGAGAAAAATGGTGAATGAAAGATGCTTGGATGAGTCCAAGGGGTGTATCATCATGCAGTTTAAAATCAGATAGATTAGATTAGATTAGATTAGATTAAACTTTATTGTCATTGTGCAGAGCACAGGTACAGAGCCAATGAAATGCAGAAGTGCAAAATACAGTATTATTTACATATAAAGCATGAAGAACGGAAGAGTAGTAAAAAATATAGATATGCATAATATACATATACAATGATCAGGCATAACATTATGACCACCTCCTTGTTTCTGCACTCATTGTCCATTTTATCAGCTCCACTTACTATATAGGTGCACTTTGTAGTTCTACAGTTACAGACTGTAGTCCATCTGTTTCTTTGCGTACTTTGTTAGCCCCCTTTTACCCTGTTCATTCTCAGCACTGCAGTAACACTGCCGTGGTGGTGGTGTGTTAGTGTGTGTTGTGCTGGTCTGAGTGGATCAGACATAGCAGTGCTGATGGAGTTTTTAAACACCTCAGTGTCACTGCTGGACTGAGAATAGTCCACCAACCAAAAAAATCCAGCCAACAGCGTCCTGTGGGCAGCGTCCTGTGACCACTGATGAAGGACTAGAGGATGACCAACACAAACTGTGCAGCAGCAGATGAGCTATCGTCTCTGACTTTACATCTACAAGGTGGACCAACAAGATAATAGAGTGGACAGTAAGTGGACACAGTGTTTAAAAACTCCAGTAGCACTGCTGTGTCCACTCATACCAGCGCAACACACACTAACACTAACACCACCACCACATCAGTGTTACTGCAGTGCTGAGAATGATCCACCACCCAAATAGTGCCTGCTCTGTGAGGGTCCATGGGGGTCCTGACCACTGAAGAACAGGGTAAAAGGGGCCTAACAAAGTATGCAGAGAAACAGATGGACTACAGTCTGTAACTGTAGAACTACAAAGTGCAGCTATATAGTAAGTGGAGCTGATAAAATGGACAGTTAGCGTATAAACAAGGAGGTGGTCATAATGTTATGCCTGATCGTTGTATACAGAGTAAGTGGAGAGAACGCAAATGTAGGTTGTGTGTACAGTGAGAGCAGCATATGTAAATAGAGAAGTATGCAGAGTAAACTTGTACAGTAAATGTCTGGGTAAATATTTATGCATAGTGCAATTATGACATTCTGACATGCTTTACGTTTATCTATACTATATTGAAAGTATTACATTCGTTATGCACAACCAAATGGAAAAATACTGCAACATTTGAAATAAAAATGAAAAAAATCATACCTGATAGACCAGGTGGGCCTCTATCTCCTTTTATCCCAGCGGGCCCAGGCGGCCCGGGTGGCCCTGGACGTCCTGGTTCTAATTCAGTAACGTTTGACAAACCCGGATCTCCCTTAAACCCCTGAGGTCCCTGAGAACCCTGGGGCCCAGGAGGGCCAGTTCGACCTGCAACAGTGAACATCATGACGGAAAAAAGGAGGTGAAGAAAAGAGGGGGAAGTTTAGGAGTGGATAGGAGGCAGAGAATGTGACTACACTAATGAAGAACAATGAGCACACATAACATTTTTCCACTGCAAGTACTAGAACCTTTGGCAAGAGAAAACTGGAACGGTGATTTTTACACTGGCATCAGTCCAGTACTGGAGGTTCTACTCAAGGTCCACTCAAGAGTGGTACCAACAGGACCTTATGGTACTTGAGAGTGTTCTCCTCTTTCTTTGCTAACACTGCAGCTGAAGCCAACAACAATTTAGCAAACACTTTGCTTTTCCAGGTGAGGATAAAGTCACCAAGCACTATTACTTCTACAATAGGTGCACCAAAATGTTAACTATGATGGTATAACGTTGATGTGTCGACTGCTATTTTCAGAGTTATTACTCTGTAAAGACTTCACTAAGCTGACATAGGATGTTTCCCTCCGGCTCGGTCGGGTCAGAGTCTGACCTCTCACAAAACTCCAGTTCCCAGAGTGCCACAATGGACCATTTGACTGACACATCAGAGCCATCCACCAATCATGAGCCATTTCAGAGATCTAGCTGGCATGAATGATGACAAGCACCAGCTGCTTGTAATTTTATAGACTCTTTAAATACTGTTTGAACTCCAGTCTCTCTTTGTGAAACACTGCCCTAGTGTTCCTGTGCATTACTGAGCGGTCATTTCTGGTTTGTCTCTTTTGTGGTTTTGACCTCTGCCTGTATTTTTTGACTTTGATTCCTTGCTCTGCCATTTTGTATTTTGGTTTGCTGTTTTTTCCCCTGTTTGATATCGGACTGTTCCTGTTTTTTGCTCTTAGCCTCATGTTTTTGTGTGGATGTTTTTTGGTATTGATCTTGGCCTGTATTAACGGTGTGAATTCAGATTTTCTTATTTTTTTTAATTAAAAATCCATCTCTTCGCATCTGCGTTTGTCTGACCCAGCCTTACAGTTACAGTTCTGGAAGCTAACAATAATACTATCAGCATTTATGCTAGCCCCCACAGAATGAGTGATTTTCATATTTTTATACTTGACAAAGAAAAATATTAGCTTTGCTTCCCAGATAGCAAGACTGTGTTGGCCAAACGTTTTCACAGTCACACAGCAAATATCGCTGTCAGAGCGTCAGTCTATATTTGGTTGTATTGAACTGTAGGATAATAAATGTTAAGGAATTACAAGTCAAAGTCAAAATCCGAACCGTTTACCCAACGTCAGCTCTACGTTGGTAGGCAGATAGGCATCCATGATTTAAAGTATGTAAATAATTTGTAATAATAATATCATCATAGTGATGCTTCACAGTTTACTGTTTGTCTGTTTGGCTCAGTTGGGTCATGCCGACTATATTGCATTTAAAAAAAAAGTACATACACATGTATGTACATATATATATATGTATATATAGACAGATAGTTAGATAGATAGATAAATATAGATATAGATATAATTAAATAAATAAAAAATCAACCTTTCTTATCCTCTACTTCTTTATATTTGGTTGGTTTAATTACATGTCAAATTGAATTCAACCAATCAGGATGCAGTCTATTTGACAAACTCTAATGAAGTGCTATTGCTCAACTACCGTTATTAGAAGCAGCTCATATTGCAAAAACAATGCAGCATGTATCAAGAGTCAAATCACTGCTGTTGGAACAAAACCTTGTATCTCCAAAATGAGAACTTTACAGGAGAAGGAAAAATCCTACTTTACTTTTAAAGTAAGTCAATGGAACCAGACTTTTCTCCAAGCCGTTTTGGGCCGATTCTTTTGGTCCATTCATCGTGAAATTAACACACAGTGTAAAGGGCAAAAGGCCTTTTCAAATTATGTCAAAAACTGAAAAACGACAAAAACGGAGATACAAGTATTTGTCCCGACATCAGTGAAATTTTAAACATGTCGATTTTGCAGACAGTAGAGAACTGACAAGCAAGAGAAAAAGCATGCTCTGGTGTTAAACTCTCCTCTTCTGGTGTGGAACATCATAAAAATAAATTCCCATCAGCAGCGAACAGAAACAGGGCTTACTTGGAAGCGAACCAAGGCCTGCGATTTTTGGCAGACTGCGATTCAATTGGAGTGCAGACCTGAGTACACATGGAGTGTCCAAACAAATACCAAACAAAGTAGGTGTGAAGCGCCCTTAGACACTCAGTTACCTAAAAATGGACACTCCAAACATGTCGCCTTTTTTGACTTGGCTACATTTGGAATAAGGACCATCAACGTTAAGGTGGTCTAGTCACTTTTCAAAGGAATAGATGGTAGAAGATTAACCTAGGAGGGTGTGTCCTGGGTATCCAGGGCTTCCTCGGTTTCCCATCAGTCCCAAATCCCCTGGGGGCCCTGATGGTCCACGTGGCCCTGGGTCACCTGGGTAACCTAGGACAAATGTGAAACAATTAATCAAACAATAGCTGAACAGAACAAACTGCATATAAAATTGTAAACTACAACTGAAAAATTCAGTGTTTGCATTTCTCTACTACTACATTTTAGAGATATATCAGACATATTATAGAGATATTTTAGACAAGTCTTTCTGGCTGGTTTATCTAGTAAAATTATTCAATTTCTTCAGCAAATATGCAACCTTTTTCTAGCTCAGGGGTCGGCAACATGCAGCTCCAGAACCGCATGCGGATCTTTTACTGCCCTGTTGCGGCTCCACAGCAGAATTAGAAATAAATAAAATAATCCTCCTTTGCAGTAAAATAAAGCTCTGCTGATCTTTTAACACAGTTTTAGCAATAAATGATCTTAAACACTGGAGTTAAATTAATGTTTAACTGCTATTTCACCCTTTAACCCTGAAGGCCAGCGTGCAGACTGCTGGTCACCAAAGAAATGCAGACAACAGTCTCGTCTAGCTAGTAGCTAATGAAACGGCAAAGAGAGAGATTTTAGATGAACATCGATAATTTGGAGACGAATGGACTTATTTGTGTTTATAATCACTCCAGCTGGTTTTCTGATACGTTTAATCTGCAATGAGAAACTGTCAAACACTAAAAAGTCACGGGGCTGAAGTCAGTTTCTCGTTTGTTAGCTTCTTGTTCGAACTTTCCCATTCCACCTTAAATAGTGCAGTAGTTATATTCAGGCGCCTCAGGCACCATGTGAGGTGGAAAGGGACGATTCGAACAAGAAGCTGGTGAGTGAGAAGCGACTTCAGCCTCATAAAAAGTTGAACACTGAGAGACATTTTACAATGAATTATTCTACTTTTGTGGAAAGGTTTCCTGCCAGAGATGTGAGAAAAGCAGCTAAAGCTGAGCTAAAGCTTAAAGCAGAGCAAAGTAAGTCTGCATTTCTGTTTTTATTAGACTTTACAGCCTATTCTATTACATTACCCCATACTGAGACATATTCACAGCCAAGATGTAAAATGGACATGAAATGTTGCGGCTCCCAAGGTGGTTTAATTTTTGCAGAAAGGACAAAATGGCTTTTCTTAACACTTGGGTTGCTGATCCCTGTTCTAGGTTCTATATATAATTGCAAAAGTCCAGTGATTAGGGTTTCTCACCTGGAATGCCATCACCTGGAGGACCTTTCAAACCTGCATCTCCTCTTTCACCCTGCAGAAAAGCCCAGGGCAAAAATCACAGCTGACTCCATGTGTTTAAATATAGAGGTCTGATTATTACTGGTGCTGACTTACCTTCAGACCAGGATGACCACGGTGACCAGGCGCACCTGGGTCCCCATGAAGTCCCTAGGAAATGAACAAGAGTTGCTTCAGCACTTAAAATGACATTGTGAAATAAAATGCTGCTACTTTAAATGCTGGGTTCATACTGCTGTATAAAGTCAAGTTAGATGTCATTACAGTTCTCTGATTACTGTAAAAGTAATTCAGTTTTGTGCATCCTAGACAACAATAGAAAGAATATTGATCGTAACCTGTAAACCTGGAAGTCCCGTCAAGCCATCAATACCTGGGAGACCCTGGGGATAAGCAGAGAAATAACAGAAAATGGGAATAAAGAAAGTTATGATAAAGCAGTGAGCCATGAGAGGCCATGCTTTACAGTGATTTTATCACAGGTAAGGGGTGTTAGGCACAATGTGAAGCATAAATAAAATCCCCTTACAGTCCGGCATGTTAATACATCGCAACGTATCCCATTTGTTTTCAAGGGGAAGTGCTGGAATTGTCTGACGCGGGTGCATTGTGCATGATGCTTCCGATGTGTCCGGTTTGGGGAACGTGGTGCATCGAAATGAGTAGAGCTGAACTTTATGCAAATCAATCCGGAGCCAGGTGGTATTGGCGTAAATTGTCTCTGTAGAAATGACTGCAAGTGGTAATCAATGACCTACAAGCTTATGAGTTTAACCTCATTAACATTTTGGGAAATATTAGTTTATTGATGCATAATACATTGACTGTCTGATTGTAAATAAAATTCAAGTGTTAATTACATAAATATTGACTTAGCAAGACTACATTTCAGTTATATTTTGCAGGAAACTCCTTTGTAACGCACACATGCAGCCAGCTGAAGACAGAGGATGCTCTGATGTATGTTGACGTACCTGAGCAGTGTAAATGCAGAGTTAAGAGTGATAAAGCCGGCCTGTATCACAAACTCGCACAGCTTATACATGAATACAATTAGTCTCATGTTATCCAAGCCATTATTTACATTGGCCCTTTTATGACTTGTGATTGGGCAGCTGTTTCAAGTCTATACCTACAGGAAATGTATATGCAGCATAAACTAGTTTTATGTTCAGTAATAGCCGTGAATTAGAGACGTTCAGACGTTTAAGATCTATAAAGTAAAATACGCTGTAAGATTAATGAATATAAAGCGGGCAATGTTTCTCTCATGCATGAGCAGTGAGCAGGAAAAAAAACGCCAAATCCAGCACAAAGACAGCTTAACCACACCTGCCTTGACGGAAAAGAGACACTGCAACGTAATGCTAGCACCTAGCAGCTTTCCCAGTTTTAGGATTCACTGCAACTGTATCAGATTCTTCTCCACTGGCTTGTTCCAGATGGCACAATCATGCAGATGATTCTCTCACCCGAGGGCCAGGCAGTCCTGGAATTCCCTTTTCTCCTTTCACCCCAGGACCTGTTGCAATCCCCTTAAGATAAGATAAATATAAGAGCTTGGCATTTTTGTCATTCACTCACACATGAAAACACACTACCACCACAAAATTGGGAGTGTAAAAATGCACTGATGCATCAATTTGAATTAACTTGTACTCAATGACTTAATTAGGCCTGTTACAATCACCAAATAATGATAGCTGATGGTTAACTGCCATAAATAATTGCAATTAACAATGTAATCATTTTTTTTCACTGTATACAACTGCAGTGCAAGCCTAAAGTGACCTGTTGCATCATGCTTGCTAGCTGTCAACACTTAGTATTTCCCAGATAACAATAGACACAGCTCAAGTAAACAAACATCCTTTAAAGTCATTATTAACAAACATCAAATAAACAAATACAACTCACTGTCTCCCTCTAAAGGTGATATAGCACTAGTCATAACTAGGGCCATTGTTAAAAATAAAAGACTTGGAGAATAAAGTTGAATTTTTGGAATAAAATCGTAATATTTTGAGAAAAAGGCATAATCGGTTGTATTTTGTAGGGTAAAGTCATAATATTTCAAGAATAAAGTCATAAAGTTACAAGAATAAACTTTTTATTTGGAGAATAAAGTGGGCTAATTGTAGGGGGATCGCCATGTCGTGTTGGGGCCTTTGGTTGTTGTAGTGGTGACTACGAAGACGGCAACCAATTATTTTGATTATCACTCTCATGTGAAACCACATGCCTTCTTCGAACGGCACGAAGATGTAACCACCAGTAGGCTTGTACACGACCACTGCCTGCGAGTTCTCCTTCAACTATAGAGACAGTTTCCTGCAAGTCTGTCTGGTTCTTTATTCTAAATAAACACAGTTTATTCAGCCATTCCAGCCGTTTCAGCAATTTCTTATACTAATAACAGTCTGGTGCTGTGCCAGGAGACTGGGTATTTCTTTATTGGTGAAACTGGAACAAAAGAATAACTCTACCAACTCCTGAACGTCCGTTATTTTAACACAAGGAAGTTGATACCTTCCTTTTGCAAACCCTTTGGCCACAATATTGTGACTTTTCCTGATAATCTCTCACTTAATGTCATAATTCTATTTCGACTTTATTCTCGAAATTGCCCTGCGATGGACTGGCGACCTGTCCAGGGTGTGTCCTGCCTTCCGCCCAGTGACAGCTGGGATGGGCTCCAGCACCCCACCGCGACCCAGAAGGATAAGCAGTTTAGATGATGTATGTATGTATGTATGTATGTATTCTCGAAATACTATAACTTTTTCTTCAAAATATTAAAATTTTATTCTAGAAAATACGACTTCTCTAAGTCTATTATTTTAATTTTTTTAACAGTGGCCCTAAAATGGCGTTGTGTGGACTTGCACTCAAATAGCTTTTAGAGCTTCATAATAGTGGCGTTTTGCACCAGTCACACTTTGTGACACTTACTAATAAGACCCATGATGTGTCTCAATAAATGTTAATTAAATTTAACATCAATTAAATTAATTTTCTGCTTTCTTTTATTTACATTTATTTGCCTCAACCCAAATGATGAAAATGTACTCAATTTACATGATGATTATTTAATAATCGTGACAGACCTGCACTGAAGTGTTTCCTACAGAATCATAATTGAAACAAACTGCTGTGAAGTCACAGATTTACACCCCAACACACACACACACACGCACACACACACACACACACACACACACACACAGAGAGACAAATGTACTCACATCTGGTCCATCTGGCCCGCAGGCTCCGTTATCCCCCTTCTCCCCCTGGAGTGAAAATCATCAAGTGAACACTTGATTATTATTTTAATGATGTCCTGTTGAGTTGATGATGTCTGGACCACATTTACCTTCGCTCCTTTAATGAGGTGATCCTCAGGGGGCTCCACCACCTCATATGGACCAGGAGGACCTTGAGGTCCAAGATCTCCCTAGAAGACAGAACAAAGGATGATTAAACTCTGTGTTGTGTTCTTAGTAGTGCTTTAGTGAGCGAGCAACTGATAGACATTGCCTATGAAATGTAAACACTGAATGTTATGTAAGATGTGTATACGCATAAATATATTTAATCAGGAGACAAATTAAGAAGGTGGGACATATTACCCTATGGGGCTTCTTCCCCAAGTACACACACACACACACACACATTTTCTGAACCGCTTACTCTTTCCCCAAGTAACCCTACATATTTTATTAAATAAATGATAAATAATAATAGAGTAATAATAAATAATAGCACTTGTTCACAATCTCAACCCTGAAGCCCCCTGCACTGCGCAATCTGCTGTTTTCTTTATTGCAGCACCCCTGACTGAACTCTACACACCATTTATCCATTTTAATCACATGCCTGGTTTCTGAGCGCCACCTGGTGGCTGGATCATTCCTTTTCTGAAACAGCACACCCAAGAAATAGAAGTTCCAGGCCTGCAGTGCCACCTAGTGTTTACAGCCTGCCTAAACAGGTCCAGTTTAACATGAATAAAGAGGCCTGTTCTGACAAACCTTCACTACTCCACTGTTGCTGTGTATTAGAACTTACTACATACAGTATCAGAGCCCATCTGTTCCAATGTAGTTAACCCCTTAAAATCCCAGGTTTATTACATACTAAGGCTTATTATTCAGTAACCACAGGGACTTCAGGATGGAATGCCCACTAAAAGGGGACAGGACCTGCCCCAGGTGGAGGAGTTTAAGTATCTTGGGGTCTTGTTCACGAGTGATGAGAAGAGGGATCGTGACATTGGCCGCAGGCTGGGACAGGTGGCAGCAGTAATGCGGTCACTGTACCGGACTGTGGTAAAGAGGGAGTTGAGCCATAAGGTGAAGCTCTCTGTTTACCGGTCAGTCTACCTCCCAACCCCCACCTTCGGTCATGAGCTGTGGGTAATGGCCGAAAGAATGAGATCGCAAATACAAGCGGCGGAAATGAGCTTTCTTCCCAGGGTGGCTACTACTCTTCCACATTGAGAGGAGCCAGTTGAGGTGGTTCAGGCATCGGATCCGGATGCCTCCTGGACGCCTCCCGCTGGAAATGTACTAGGCACGACCACCTACTGGGACAAGACCCCGGGGTTGTCCTAGGACCCGCTGGAGGGATTTTATCTCCAAGTTGGCCTGGGAGCAGCTTGGGGTCCCCGGGAATGAGCTGGAGGAAGTTGCGGGGGACAGGGTCGCCTGGGATTCTCTGCTCTTCCAACTGCTACCGCGACCCTATCTGGACTAAGCGGTTAATGATGATGATGATGATGATGATGATACAGGGACTTCAACGCAAGCTGGCTGAGCTATTCTTAGATTACAGACGTGTGTAATAAAACTTTGGGCCCACCAGTGGGCTCTGACCATTTAAAGGTTTAAAGGAATAGTTGGACAAAAAAAAAATCATTTATCGTTTATTTGCATGCCTGAAACATCACGTACACGCCTGATTTCAGTCTCGTGGTGATTCCAGTTTGCTCACCTCTTCCCCTTTTGGTCCTGGAAGTGACAGACTGCTATCACCCTGAAAACAAAGTCACCGTGTTACAAGCGTGTTTGTGTGTTTATTTAACACAGTTTTTTGTTAAATGTACTTTATATGTTTGACAGAGTTCACTCCACTGACATTCAGATACACTTACAGGTGGTCCTTGTAACCCTGGAGGACCAGCAGGACCCTGTTGAAGGTAGGACAGAAAATAGCGTCATATCATATTAATGTTTCACTACTTCCCTGGAAAATGGAAGCAAACATCTTAAATTATGAAACTGTTGTCAGGCGGGGAAAATAAGAATGTGTGAAAATCTCATCTCACAATAAAGCCAGCTGGACCAGGCCAACCCCTAACTCCGGGGAGCCCATCAATGCCAGGAAATCCCTAAAAAAGAGAATACACAGTATAGAGTAAATGCACAGAAAGATAATATAATAATTAATTACTATTCATAAACAATGTGGCATTTGCATTCTGAATTTACAAGCTGATATTTAAAATACTGATTTGACTATGAATATTTTTACATATTTTATGTATTTTATTTTAATTTTATATTGCATTTATTTATATTATTATTTTTTATATTTATCAGATTTGTGGTGAAATTATGTGGGCGTAAAATAGGGTGAATACAGACTTTAATTATGTTTTTAATAACACAATAATCCACTATATTACTGTCAAATGTTTATTTAAAAAGAATTTAATACTACTACTACTACTACTACTACTACTACTAATAATAATAATAATAATAATATGACCATGACTTTTTAGTACTTTTTAAATAGTTTTATTATTATTAAAATACATGTTTACATTTACTTACATTATTATACTTTTAGATTTATGACATTTGTGTGGTGAAATAATGTGGGAAAAAGTCAAATTAATTTTAAGGTAAATATAAGCTTTGATTAGATTTTATTAATACCATGATTTAACATTTTAATAATTTTTATATCATGACCTGAAGTCTTGGAAAGGATGAAACAGAAACTTACAGGTAGGCCAGGAGAACCAGGTAGACCAGGGTTTCCCTGTTAGAAGATCACAGATGTAGGAATACAGTTTTTTTAAATCTCACATTTATTACACATTACATAATTAAACAGTAGAATTTAATATGGCTATTTGTCATGAAAACAGTTTGGAATGATTTAGCCCTCATTCTGCATGTCTTCTGTAGCTGGTAGAGAATTAATGTCACTCAGTGTTTAAAACCAATGTGGCGAAGACTCCACAAACCACTTCCAAGGACTGTGTGTTGTGTTTTTTATCCTCAAGCTTTTTAGACATTCTGCGGGCGTTCACTTCAACCGAATCATACTAAACTGAGATTTCAAAAACGTCTGTATAATTAAATGACAGAGACGTAAACAGAGTCATTCCGAGTGATTTGTTGTGAAATGCTCCATTTTAGAGAAACTTACAGAGTCGGAATTGTTCACAGTGGTGGTGATAGGAAACAGACCTAAAAGCTCCCTCACAGAAAGTTATTACATGAAATAGTTATGAATACACTGCCTGATGTCTGAGACACTGTTTTATGAAAGTTTTGAGAAGATTCTTGTCTAACATATTAAAATCCATTCATGGTGGAGAGTTTTTTTTAAGGTTAGCACTATTTTACCACCATCAACACTACATAGAAAAACTCAAAAGACGTGTGTAGGTTCACTGGTGGTTTTGGATAGTAAATAACATGCCTACATGTGTGTTGTAGTCATCCCTCGTTCCTATCACCACCATTGTGACCACCACAAAGTTCTCTACAATTTATCATTTCACATCAAATCACTCTGAATGAATTAAAAATTAAAGTATGTAGAAATTTGGAAAAAGTTGGTGGAATTTTCTTTTTAATCATGGCTAAATTGTTGTTCAGTGACAGACAGTTACAGTCTTGTAAAATCCCTCCAAAACATAAGGATTAGAGAAGTTTGGATAAGAAGGACTTTAGATAGAGTCCGGCAGATTACAGGCATGCATTAATAACCAGGGGTGGATGAAGTATAATCCCTCTGTAGCAAAATTAGAAATACTCCTGACAAAATATTCTTAAGTACAAGTAATCTATATATCTCTACTTGCTTGTGAATTTACATAAATATCAAATGTGAATTTTATTACAGATTTTGTTCAATTATTAATCACGGACAAGTTCTATTAAGGAGACCTGTGTGGCTGCAGATATGAAATACTGAGCTATTTATTTCTGCAGTCACACAGGTATCCTTAAGGCTGGCTTTAAACTGTGAAACTTTCATGCAACTAGTTGCATGCTGTAAGTTGCATGCAACTTAATTTTGGTGGCAACTTAATCTTGGCAGTTACACGAAGCAATTCAAAAACAACAAGTCTCGTGCAACACATGATCACTGCACTAGTTAGCCAAATTATCAACTCAATATTTTTTAATACAAAGAATTGTTCTCGCTATATAAAGTCAAGTGATTTGACTTTATATAGACCTTATATAGTTGAAATCAAACTACCAACCTTACGTAAAGCTGATTGGGATCTCATTTTCAACCACCCACTGAATCAATTTTTTGATTTATTAAATTAATCCAGTGAATTCAATCATTTGAAACCATGTCATTCAAAGTGGTCACGCGACACGCAATCTGCGATCTGTGTTTTGATTGGTTGTTTCATGAAACATCCTGCAACATCCTGGTTGTTTCATGAAACATCCTGCAATTCACTTATTTTAAAGTCAGTTGCAGGAGACTTCATACTATGCAACCCAAGTGCAATTTTGTTTCATGTAGGTTTCAAGCAACTAAAGTTGCATGCAAGTACAAGTACTTCTGTACATCAACTCAGGCAGATCTTAAGAAGAATATAACCTGTTAAAAACAAGTGAAATTCATAGATTGAACTCAACGTACTGGAGGTCCTCCTTTGGATACAAGTGTTGGCTCCCCCTTCATTCCTTTAGGACCAGGCTGGCCCTAAGCAGGTGAAAGGTAAGGTAAATTATACTGCTGGATTTACAGTAATTAAGTAAAAAATGCAAATATACTCACCTGAGGTCCAGGTATTCCATTAATCCCGGGCAGCCCAGGAAAGCCAGGATCCCCACGAGTCCCATTACAGCCATCTAGACCAGGTGGGCCCGGAAGACCTCCAGCACCAACATGTCCCTAACACACACACATGCACATCATACACACACACACACTTAACATGATACACTTTGTTAGATATAGTACTAGTATTAGTTGGGCTGCCATGACCTTCTTAAAGGGCCCATGTCCCACATTTTTCTTGCATTTTATTTGTTCCCTCATATCAACTTATGACATTTGTGTAGTTTTATGTACCAAAAACAGTCATAATTCATTTCCACATTAACCTTTACTAATGTTTCCGTATCCCTTAGAATTAAACAGGCTGTTTTTTGTCATGGTGCTGTTAAGACTGGTACATGTCAATAAGCTCTGCTCTGATTGGCCGTCCTGTAATGTGCATCATTCATAAAGCAGTGCAATCTGAAACACTCCTTATAACCTCAACACGAAAGGGCAAGGCTAAACAGCGATAGCAGCAAGCAAGCAAAGTTTATTTATATAGCGCTTTTTACAACAGGCATTGTCACAAAGCAGCTTTACAGAAAAATCAGCATTGAAGAAAGAAATCCGGGTCCAAACCCCCATGAGCAAGCTAGTGGCAACACTGGCATGGAAGAACTCCCTAAGAGTAAGAGGAAGAAACCTTGAGAGGGACCAAGACTCAAAAGGGGAACCCATCCTCCTCTGGTCAACACCGGATAGCAAACAGTGTCAGTATTAAGTATTATAGTACAAAACGGGGAAAAACAGGTGGAGCAACGGTAAATTGGATTAGGTTGAGTTTATGCAGCAGCAGCAGCATCACTGGAAGGGTCTGTTCATGAGGGTGAGGTTTGCACAGCGTTGTACAGCATGAAGTTCAAAGGTGGTCAAGCTGGTCCAGAAGGCTGGCGAGCAGTGGGCATCCGATCAAGGCAGAGTGACCAGTATGTTTTGAAACTTTAGCAAAGTTTTACTTAAAAAAAGTGAGAAAAATAGGTATTTCCATGATATGGGCTCTTTAATGAATTATTTTCCACATCATTTCAATACAGCAGCCTTACATTTTATCATGAATGGACCAAGAGAAATGTTCCAAAAGTGTTTGAAATAAAATCTCTTTATATTAACTAAATACTAAGAGTGCTTGCAGAGTTACCATTTTGGAGATACAGGGTTTTTTTGAGCGGCCATGATTTTTAAATGCTCCTCCTGTTCTCTCCTACGGTAAGAAACTGAGCCTGATGGACGCACACGTTTATATACATTTATATACATGTTTTGCCACAATATATATACTTTTACAAAAAGTTGGTGGAGATATTTTTGCAGCTGATTACATATTCCGTTCAATTTACTAAAGTCTGAGTCTCCTAAAGTCTCCTTTTAATAATGGCAGCAGACACAGTGATTGAGGCTATACAGGGTTCGTTATTGTTCATGTAAGTCCATTTTTATTGTTTGACCTTTTTAAAGCTTAATTAAACTTATTACTTGATTAATCGTCAAAATAATTGGTAGATATCTTATTTACTAATATAATCAATAGCGACAACCCTTGTAATTAGTTTGTACATTATGCAGAGAACAGCAGGAAGAGCTCATATTCATTGTGTTCATATAGAGCCTGTGTTGATTTTGTCGATGATGGATACTGTTGATACTTACATCGACACCATTTGCTCCGGAAAAACCCGGAACACCAGTGCTCCCCTCAGGAAAGAAAGATCAACGGTTAGCAACAGTTACTCAACAATGTTTCCCTACAATTAACCAGAAAAATCAGCATCAAACCATTCTGAATGACTAATTTCATCTCATTGATTGAATTTTAAAGAAATATTGAAAAATCGGTGGACTGTCCCTTTATTCCCTACAGAACATTATTGTCTGTGATAACTGGTTATTGTAATTGACTCTCTTACTCTGTCTCCCGGAGGCCCCTCCAGCCCAGGCTCTCCCTGGTTTCCCCGTCTGCCCTTTTCCCCTGGCTGTCCTGGTGGTCCACGTGGCCCTGACTCACCCTGAGGGCCCTGAATGCCCAGACTGCCAGGAGCCCCCTGTACAAAGCAGAAGAGCAATCAGCCCTGTTAGAACCAAATCTCTCATATTGAATGCATTACAGAGAACAAAAATAAACAGCCTGCCAGGAAAAAATGGTTCAAATGAGTCAAATGATTGAACATGGATGAATTACGCTGAATATGAATACAATCATGACCAAAAAAAGTCACTCTAGGCCTTTAGAAGCTCTAAATACATCACACACTGTAGTGTAGAGTAACCACTTTTTATATTACTGTACTTTTTACAGCATAAGCACAGAGTGAGAATAACTTGCTTTAGCAGTCTTGCTTTAAGGAACATGAGGGTATAACTAAAAACAATTTGATTAACTGATTTAAAGGAACAATATGTAATACTGACAACCAGTGTTTAAAATGGGTACTGCAGTCCAAATTCAAAATATTGGAGAGAGTTGTCTGCCCCCACCCCTCCTACCCAGACTCGAAGTCAACGCAGGTTGCCAGGTTAAGGACAAGCTAAAAAGAAGTGCCATTATCAACTAATTTACACAGAAAAGTGTACATTGTTTCACTAAAATGTCTACTTAGTAATCTAACGCTACTGAAATTTGACCACATACACTAATTTAGTCACAAAACAGAATAAACTCCTTTAAAACATTTATATGGTTTCTATTAGGTAAGACAGATAAACAGCTAGTAGTGAGGTGTGGGCATGAGTAACGTTACTCAGAATTCATATGCAGACTGACTTGATTAGGACTTGGGACTTTACTTAAGACTTGTGCATACAGACTCGGAACTCGACTGTCTTGACTTGAGACCTGACTCGGGACTCAACACAGAGCTCGAGTGTCATGATTTGAGACTTTTGTTACTTGCAACTCAACACAAATCGCTTTGTACATTGAGTACAAGAGCATGGCCCAATCCTATGTCTTATTTTAACCCCTACCCCTTGTTTTCGAGCGTCATCTTGCTCCTTGGAACTGAGTTACAAAGGGTAGTGGTTGAAATCTTCCCCTATGAAATGGGACCCTCAAATAAAAAAGGGCATTACTTTAACAGGCTACTAGCGCTGCTCTGTAGGTGACCCTGCCCGTCTGCAGTGACAGCAGAGGAGGGTAAAGTTCAGCTCCTCACTGCTGGGCTTTAGTTACATTAAGGGAATCATATGCCTTCAAAGGGGGGAGGGCAATTATTTATTATTGCCCACCTCTAATCCTTCAGTTACATTCTGGCGCCTGAATGCTGCACCATTTAAGGTGGAACGGGAAATTTAGCCAGTTAGCTACTGAGACATTAGCACATTATTAGTGATTTTTAAGCTTGTTATGAGGAAAAGGACCATAATACACTGAAACGACATTAAACTAAGATAATACAGTGGTTATCATAATTTTTAACAGAGAAAATTCTCACATTTGTGGGTTTCTTTGGTCGCTCGCACAGCCATTTTGCCAGTTTTTCTTTTTTCCTCATATCACTCTGTTTGGAGTCTCTGAAAAACCTGTTTGGAGGGCCATGTAGCCCTAATACTTCGCCCTACCCCTCTATCTCAACAAGAATTGGGACACCCTACCCCTAGATGTAAACGCGCAAAATGGAGGGGTAGGGCTAAGTGGTAGGGGTGAGGGGTGAAATGGGATTGGGCCCATGATCCGTATGAGAGTATGTTCATACCCGTGCTCCTTTAGCTGGATGGCACCTGCACACTGAACAGTCTCTGCCATTACACGGCTCCAGAGCTTCACCCTGAAAAATATAAACCAAATAAGGAAAAGCTTGAGAAAGAGAGCACGAAAGAGCAAGAGTCATCCAGACCTGCAATCACTGTAAAAATCATTTTGTGTTTTACCTTAAAACCAGTAAATAACCTGGTTGCCTTAACATTTTGATTTCACTAAACATCAGAATGGTTGTTTTTCATTGGAATTACATGGAATAAAATCTCAACACATTAACATACATTTAAGTTAAATGATCCACATCATGTAAAACTGAATTTTCCTCCTTAATTTTTGGAAACAATGTCAATGTTTTAGAACCTACCATTCACTCTGCAGTTCATTTATGGAAATTAAGCTGCAAAAAGTTGCCTGTTTTGAATTCATTGTTTTTGTGAAGTCATGAAAAGCCAAATCATTTGCATATTTCCATCTACTTAGCCTACAGCAGCTTAGCTCCGCCTTCGTCTTGAAGCCATAAGAAGTGTTTAAATCCAAACTGCTTTTTGCATGAAGCACAATACAGAATAGCCAATCACAACCGAGCTTGTTTACATATTTCAGTCTCAAAGGAGCTGTAACACAAGCAGCTTGTTTATTAATTATTACTATTTTTGATACACAAAACCACACAAACATCATCAATGGTCTTCGACAAAAATTATATAAAAATTCGAGAAAAAAATGCAAGATATGGACCCTTTAAAAATGTTTTTCCTTCTCTTGAAAGGTCATCATTTTATAAATATAAAGTTTTCTTACTACAATCATGATATATTTCCAGCAATGACTGTGTTGATGTAATGTCTTTTATATGTAAGTATATTCATGTTCGGTGCAGTTTAAAGCTGTTTCTGGATATAACCCTAAAAGCCTGATAGTATTGCTTAACAAGTGGCGGCCCACACATCGCCCTTGATCTTTTGATTCACCCACACGGTCAGTAGGCTGTTGACGGGGGAAGTCTTTGTATGTTCTCTAACCCTAACAGACAGAAGTAAGTGGTAACCTGACAGTTTTGTGGGAAAACGTCCGATTTCACACCTGCGATGATAAAACACTTCAGTGAGAACATTAAGAACCGGCCTATCAGTCCTGATTTTACACCAAATTCCTGCACCACATTCCTCCCCCAGCGTGCTCTCATAAACATTGAGAATGTTCACCAAAATGTTTGGCAAATATTTGGATACTCTGGATCTGTTTCAGAGACGAAGACACTCCTCCGTGCACAGCTGGTGGTGATGTTCCAGTAATGCATCCAGAAACTGCTAACGACATGCATGAAATCACACTAACACCACTACATCACTAATCGAGAGACGCTAATCGAGAGACGCTAACCAGTGTGCAGATACACAGTCACTCTGATTTTATATATCATTTATAAACCTCATATCTCCAAAATGGTAACTTTACAGGAGAAGAAAAAAAACTCTTAACCTTTAATAGAGGTCAATGTCAAAAGAATTTATTCCAAATAATTCTGGAGTATTTCTATTGGTATATTCATTAGGAAATCATGACGCAATATAAAAGGCATTTCAAATTTTGACAAAAAATAAAAAATTATAAGATTTTGTACTCATAATGAAGAACACTCACACATTTACACAAATGAGGGTAACATACACCTAGGTATTTTATATATATATATATATATGTGTGTGTGTGTGTGTGTGTGTATATATATATATATATATATATATATATGCTTAACAAAGCTAAAAATCTATTTGATTTTCATTAACTTCCTTACAACTTAAGAATGTTTTGGAGATTACAAGGTTTTGTATGTAATGTGATACAATGCAGTGTGTGTGTGTGTGTGTGTGTGTGTGTGTGTGTGTGTGTGTGTGTGTTCACAAAATAGTTATAACAAATATAATAATCATATGCTGACACAAAACCACTCATGTAGATCACTGCAGCTGTTAACATGACCATCCACAAATCCATCTATGGATTTATGCGAAATGTATATGCTACATTTGTATGATGTTAGTTGAGGACTTGCAATAAAATTAAAACAAACAAAGTGTTGCTGAATGTTTTCTGCTTGTATCTTTGGTCTTTTTTGTGTATCTGTGGTTAAAATTTGGTAATTTCATGACTGTCTAATTTTGCAGGACTTTTGGAGGCAGTGAAACACAGAGCAGTGTTAAAGTTTCTAACCCAACCATCATTAGCTTAGCCAAAACGCAACAAAACGCTCACAAACACCACAGAACAGGCTTCATTTTGGCTTTCTGTCACTCCAACATCAGTCACTTGACTTCTGCTCAACTTGTTTGAGCAGAGCAGCAGTTAGTCAGAATCAAGCCTGTCCTGCTGGCTAAGCTAAAGTTAAGTTAGTGGATCAGGCTACAGATTCAAACCCCACAGAACAGGTTTAATTTTGCCCTTTCTCTCTCTTCAGCAGCGTTACACCATTATTCACTCCCTCAGATATGAATCCTTATCATCTAAGCGGTGTCAGTGCTTTAGTTAGCCAGAATCCAACACATTCTTTGGTAAGCAAAGCTGTTATTATAGTAGCAAAGCTAATGCTACCCAGCTGCTACCTGAGCAACATTGTTTAACATTTAGCAGTTGTTAGATAGATGCTTTGACACTGAATGGTGCACTGTGTTCACTTATTTGGTGACCATGTCAGCAAACTATTCTTTTTGTTTTTTTTTATTTTGAAATAATGCAGGACGACATGGCAAAAAGGCGTCATAAATGTTTTTTTACGTCATAAAGGAGAGAATACTCACCGCACTGACCTGCTGCTCTGAAACATACAGCAGAGAAACCCACCTGCCTCAGAAAATCAAAACATTCATTCATTTTCTTTCACTGCTGTTTGACACAAGATTATTGCGCTTGAAGACGCAGGAATGTAGCACAGAGCTAAGCAGTTTACTGACCCTCAACAACAGTAAACTTTATGGACACACATGCAAAAAGTAACTCAGCTCTCCTCTAATAAAGATCAAAATTACTGATTAGCAGTTAGCAGTAAAACCAGTTGACTGTATTATGACAAGATCATCCAGATCTCATAGTACTAGTAATATGCCTTATTATATCTGGCATTAAAGGGCCCATATCCTGCATTTATCTTGTATTTTAGTTTAGTAATAGTCCACTCATTACATGTGCGATGTTTTAATATACCAGGCATTCAGAACTCATTTTTAGCTGACCTCTCTTTATCCTTTAGAATTAAACAGGCTGTTTTTGTTACTGTGCCTTTAAGGCTGATATATATGTAAGTAAGCTCTCCTCTGATTGGCTGCCCTGTATCATTCAAAAAGCAGCCCAGGATGAAAAATTCTTAGAACTTCTTGGTGAGTGGGCGGGGCTAAACTGCTCTAAGGCTGGGCCTAAACTCCATGAATTTTGCCCGATTTAAACCCCGATACGCCCCTTGTAACAAATGTCCAAAGTCTGAAGCGTTTGTAAGCGACTGATGGCGCAGATGATCTGGTAGTGTGAGAGGAGCAGCGAGTGAATCATTAGCCCTCCGATCGAACTCTGAAGTGATCAAAGGCCCTCCGATATGATCAAACCTGTTTGATATTTACGACTCAAAACGTTCACAAGTCCTGCAGTGTGAGATGGTCAGAGATTTACTCAATGAGGAATTCAAACAGCCAATCAGAGAGGTAGGAAGGAGGAGAAAAAGGTGAAGAAACACGCATTACATGAGTGGATCAGACACAGCAGTGCTGCTGTGGGAGTGTGTAACAGAGTGGACCACCACCACGTCAGTGTTACTGCAGTGCTGAGAATGATCCACCACACAAATAGTACCTGCTCTGTGAGGGTCCATGGGGGTCCTGACCACTGAAGAACAGGGTAAAAGGGGGCTAACAAAGTATGCAGAGAAACAGATGGACTACAGTCTGTAACTGTAGAACTACAAAGTGCACCTATATAGTAAGTGGAGCTGATAAAGTGGACAAAGAGCGTAGAAACAAGGAGGTGGTCATAATGTTATGCCTGATTGGAGTATGTAAATATGCTGGCTTTTGTGACATCACAAAAACAGTAAATTCAAAAACGTCAGTTTTTGCAGCTTTAATGTGTAGATTTTATGGACTGGGGAGTCAATAGTACGGTTTAAAATGTCTATGTACCACATCAAGCTCTTTTATTTCAAAACCATGAGGAAAATTGGATTTTCAGTGATATGAGCCCTTTAATGGATCTGCAAAATTTGTTAAATTTTTCCAATCTGATTTCTCCTAATATTAAAAAGGCCAACAGGCCAGCCAACGTGACTTTCACAGGTCTGCATTCACAATAATGTTAAGTTAACAAAGTAGCCAATGTGTTTATGGATATGGATGGACATTCACTGAAAAGAACTTGTTTATTATAAATTAGACTGTAAAATATTCACTTAAAATACATATAAAAAGCCTAATATGTCTGTAGCTTAATTTATTGCCAGTTGATGCTAATTTTTGTATAAATAATCATTTTTTCCATAAACTTACTTGCCCTCATAATGACCCGGATGATGTATTTGTTTACACACTCACAATAAACAGATGCATTAAGTCTACAGTTCTGATTTACAGTACATACAGTAAGTGTGTAGGACTTACCAGACAGTGAGGATTAGCCATCTAACCCCAAAGGTCAACAGCCTCATAGTTTAGGCTGAATGGCTGAACCTCTCTCTCTCCTAATTCCTTCCTTCTTTGATAGGTGAGCGTCTCCTTGCATCAGTGTTTCAGCCGGACACCAGTGAAGAACAGCTGTATCCAAAAACACACATAATATAGAATAACAGAATAACAAATCTAGAGTTATATAAAATACTTCAATTTAAATGATTCAGCCATAGTAATGAGGCAAGTCTAAGACAAAGCTTGTCTTTTTTTTTAGGCTATTAGATGTAGTGCTTTAAGTCAAATCAAGTCTAAGTTTATTTATATAGCGCTTTTTACAACAGGTGTTGTCACAAAGCAGCTTTACAGAAAAATCCAGGTCCGAGCCCCCATGAGCGTTGCCAATGGCGACAGCGGCAAGGAAAAACTCCCTAAGAGCAAGAGGAAGGAACCTTGAGAGGAACCAAGACTCAAAAGGGGAACCCATCCTCCTCTGGTCAACACCGGAAAGCAAACAGTGTTAGTATAAAATATTAGAATACAAAACGGGGAAAACAGGTGGAGCGATGGTTAATTAGATTAGTTTGAGTTTATGCAGCAGCAGCAGCAGCATCAGGAGGGTCAGTTCATGCAGGTGAGGTTTGCACAGCTTTGTACAGCATGAAAATTCATGGTGGTCAAAACGGTGCAGATCAGCCAACAGACATGGAGCTCTGATGACTCTAGCAGCTCTGGTGGCTCCCATGTGGCGACTCAGGCAGACGTCGCTCAGGGGCTCAAATAAAGGGAGGGAAAGCGAGAGAGAGAGAGAGCGAGAGAGAGAGAGAGAGAGAGAGAAATTGATTAACAGGACAGGTCCGTTTATAGATATTTTTTTACTAGATATTAGTGAGTTAATAGTGCAACAACTAATATTAGCAAAATGCTTGTGCAACCAGATAAGTCTAGTTTTTATTTATTTATTTTTTATATTATGTTTATTAAATTTTTCTCAGCATGACAAGCATACACCATACACACGTAACAAAAAACAAACAAACCAAAAAAAAATAAACAAAACAAAAAAAAACCACAACCCCAGCTTACATACACAAATATTTATGCTGACCAACATATCAAAATGCCACAGTAAACTATACAAGTGCTCTCACCAGAATACTTGAGAGATCTGACCCAATATACAGCAGAAAAGGTTCCCAAGTATCGTAGAAGACATTTGTTTTTGAACGTAACAGGTGTGTGAAGTAATCTAGAGATACATGTTCCAAATCAGCTCTGTGCCAGCTTACTATAGAGTATTTTATCTGTTATCCATTGTAATAAAATACATTTCCTTGCACAGAATGTTAAAACATTGCAGAGTTTTTTCTTAAAGTTGTCAGAAATATAATTATTTGGCAACCCAAGCAATAAAAACAATGGGTCTATCCTTACATCGGTTCCGAAAATCTTGTACAGTTCCTGTGCGATCTCCCCCCAAATTTTTTTTAATTCTGTAACAAGTCCACAGACAATGGGTGAGGCTACCCACCTCCACTTTACATTTAGGACACATAGGAGAAAAACCCTCTTTAAATTTACTACGGTGACTTGGAGATGTATGCGCTCTGTGTAAGATTTTAAACTGGATAGCTTTTGCTTTATTACTTATACTGATAGAGTTTGCGTTCTTCCAAACCTTGTTCCACACATCCTCCTCTATCTCTATATCAAGTTCAGTTTCCCAAACCTTCCTCAAATAATGAGTGTTAGCGTCGGAATATTCTCTTAATATATTATAAAAGAAGCTAGTAGATCTATTCTGTTTGGGCAGAAAAAGCTGTCTCTCTATCTGCGAGGGTTGCATATCTAGGTGAAGCGTTGTGTCCTTTCTTACAAAGTCCCTTATCTGAAAAAAGCGAAAGATGTCACGTTTGTGAATGGCATATTTATCAGATATCTGACTGAATGACATCAGTGTGGACCCTTCAAATATATCCCTCAAGCGAGAAAAAACCCTCGATGCCCAAAAACGGAAATGAGAATCTGTAACACTCGGAAGAAAGTCAGGATTATCACATGTAGGAGTATAAACAGAAGTCAGCTTGGATCTATCCAGATGCATAATAACTCTCCATGCTTTACCAGTGTTAATTCCAATGGGATTCTCACAGGAGCTTCTTACTGACTTAAAGTTTCTAAGAAACAGCAAGTTTCGTAAGGGATATTTTGTTTGTGAATTTTCGATATCAAACCACAAAGAAGAGTTGTCTTCATGTATCCAATCATATATAAAATGTAAGTAAGCACATAGCTGATATTTTTTATTATTCGGGAAGTCAAAACCCCCTCTCACGTCGGGAAGATGTTAAACTGCCATTTTCAGTCGTTGCCTCTTCTTAGCCCATATAAAGGAACTGAACCACTTATCTAGAGTTTTAAGAGACTTGCTTGGGAAAAGGACTGGAATCATCTGTATAGGGTAAAGCAGTCTTGGGAGGACATTCATTTTGATCAATGCTATACGGCCTATCCAAGAGATAGGGAGAGCATGCCATCTCTCCACATCTAGTTTGATACGATCCAGCAACGGAGTGAAGTTTGTTTTGAACATCTGATTAAATTTAGGGGTTATGAATACTCCTACATATGTAAAGCCTGTCTCTGACCATTGAAAAGGAAAAGGTGATGGATTTTGTGGCATGTGTTTTAAGCTACCCATGGGCATAGCTATGGACTTGAATTGATTTTATAACCTGAAAAAAGACCAAATTTGGAAATAATACTAATGAGGCTAGGGACTGATATATATGTGTGGTTTAGAGAGAAAAATCGAAATATCATCAGCATATAATGGGATTCAAACCATGTTAAGATCTGTTCTTATTGCCTCAGCTAATGGCTCTATTGCTAAATTGATTGACTTAATAAAATTTCCACCTAATCCAAATTTATGTAAAGTGTATTTAAGGTATGTCCACTCTATGCTATCAAATGCCTTTTCCGCATCTAATGAAATCACCATCCCATCTACAGCCCTTTTCTGAAAAGTAAAAATACAATTTAAAAGTCTGCGAACATTATTATAGGAGATAAGTCTAGTTTTAAAGGTAGAGAGTGTGTCTGAGTCCCGAACAGAGGTCGGGAGATGATTCCACAATTTTGGGGCTACGTAGGGAAAAGCTTGACCACCTGCTGTGTATTTTCTAACTCTAGGAACTGTCGGTTGACTAAATTAATTCACTAAGATACTGTGCGGCCATTTAATGATTTATACGTTAAGAGAAAGATCTTATACTCTACACGAAATTTAACAGGTAGCCAGTGTAATGACAACAGGATTGGGGATATATGGTCAAATTTTTTGGTCCCTGTAAGGATTCTAGCAGCTGCATTCTGGACCAGTTGGAGCTTACTTAGTAATGTATTGGAGCATCCAGCTAAAATGGTGTTACAGCAGTCCAGCCTGGAGGTTATATTGCTTTATAATCTCATTGTAGAGCAAATAGATAAATTATTGGGTCAAAAAGTCTGAGACCACTTTAAAGATCTAGGATTATTTGCATTTATTTCTGCAAATAGACGACAAAGTTTTAGAATTTTAAAAAAATATGGCAAAGAAAAGTTATGAGTAGTAAAAGAAAAAATGGTGAAGATTCAGATTTCTAGGTCACTGTTCGAATTTAAGCACAGTTCAAATTTTAAGGCCTTTGTACAAAAAAAATTATGATTTTTTAAAATCTTATTACTTCCACAGAAGCTTGTGTTCAGACGACTCTCAGGTGGATTTGAGCTTTTGTCACTGTTAGTAAGAAATTTCTTCTTAAAACCCACTTATGCAGTTTTCACGAAGATTCTGACCTTCACTAATATTTTCTTATTTGGGATTTGTTCTTAGGTAAGAACAGAATCTACACACATTCAAGAGCCCAAAGGTGAGAACAATTCTGCACTTTAAGAACACATCATGTATCTGACACAGACTTTTTCTTAGGATCTTTGACTTAGGAAGATATTGGAGAATGAGGCCCAGTGTTTTAAAAAAAATCTGAAATTCTGTTCACCAACTAAATTACCACAACAGAAAAATATGTCATTTTGTTTGGCAATTGTTTGTTTATGCTTGTTAATAATAAATATGTAGATCAGTTAATCAGTCTAAAATTTTAATGTGGTAGTTCACTAGACAAGATCTGTGTGAACAGGTTTCCAGGATGAGCGGAGGGCATTTGAGTCTGTGACAGGACGAGCTGCCGAACGTTCAACAGATTTTGAAGTAGCTGTTAAAAACATCTAAACAACAGAAACTGACATGGCTAATTCTATTGCAGTAATTAATGTTACTAATGTCACATGATGAGCTTTAGTGATGTTTGTGAGGGTAACGTTGGCTCATTCTGACAACTCGGTCAGCATATCATTGATCAGTGACATTAATAAATTTTGATTAGGTCTGTTACAGTTACACAATTAAATCAAGCAAAGTTTACATTCTCGATAAATCAGCTTGATTACAGTGATTGTAGTTTGAACCATAAACAGGGACTCCACAGGTCATTAAAAGCCATGTTTGGCAGGATGAACATTCTCCACAAGGGGGTGCTATTAGCGCTGAAATTGCATTTGTGTGCATCACTAAGAGAGGCAACCCACACCAGCAGGATCTCATGAATGTGCATACATTTGTATGCATTTCACATTCATTAAGTAAAATGCAACATTTGCTGTCATAATTGACTCGATCATCAAAAATAATGACTAGACTGCTAAAATAAACAAGGATGACAGGCCTAATTTCGATACACTGACAGGATTTCTTGTACAACTTCTCGTACACTTTGTCAGCTTCCACAAAGTACACAAAGTTGGGAATGTCCAGAGAAGGGGCTCCCAAGTGGCGCGACCGTCTAAGCGTTGGCCCTATCATCAGGAGGTCGCGATTTCGGTCCCTGGTGATGCTACAGCCACCCGTAGTCGGGAGTCCTAGAGTCCTAGAGTCCTAGAGAGCTAGCGTTGATGGTATTTTGTGATTGGGGGAGTCCTAACTAGTGGGTGGAACTGGAGATGACCAAATTGGGTAAAAACTGAAAAAGAAGAAGAAAAAAAAAAGAAATGCCAGGAAAAACAAATTCTATCACAGCTGAATGGTAGTAAGGCATTTGAGATTT